CAGATCCTTTGGTCTATTAGACTCTACCCCTCGCCCCAATGCCCAGGGTAAAACTATATTCAATGCAGCCGTTGTGTGTCAGCCTGGCTCATTTGGTAGCAGGTTTGGTTCTGAGTCAGTGTGTTCAAGCCCCACGTCACATCTTTGACTTCATATAGTCCAGGTTGACAGTCTAATGCAGCGCTTGGGGGAGCACTGCATTGCAGGAGCTGCCATCATTCAGTTAAACCATTTACTTGCTGTTTCCCCATACCCCTGTCACTGACTTTTTATAAGGTATTTGTCTAGTTCCCTCTTGAAGGCTAATATGGATTCTGCCTCAACCATAACCTGCGACAAGACACTCCACATCCTAACTACTCTGTACGTGAAAAATTTCTACTAACCTCCCCTTCTGCTCGTTTACTAACTAGCTTAATTTGATCTTGTGTAACACAAAGCAGATAGATGATAATAGTAATCTTTACATTTGATGTAGAACCTTATCCGGTCTAAAGACCTTCCTCTTCGACCGTGCCTTCGGTCAACCTCCCACCCCCCCCTGCCCTCCACTCTTCCTGACCCCCAACTCCCAGCTCGGGTCCCAAAACCCCTGATTGTCCAGCATCCTGGAACATGTTTCCGATATACAGGGCGCTATACAAGTGTAATTTGATGTTGTTATCGCGTCTTCAAGACGCCTTAAAGCATTTCAACTGTAAAGTGAATTGACTGTATACCTTGTGGGCGAAACTCAGCAGCCAATTGCGTACAGCAGTGTCCCACAAACACTCGTGGATTCAGTGACCACATATTCGTTAAAGGATTATTATCCCGGAAAGCAATCCCCCAATCGACTAACAACCGAGTTCCTACTTACCACTACGGAAGTGTGTGGAGTAAGGAAACTCGTCTGAGGTTCCCCCCTGCCTGGGAATCAAACCCAAGTCCTCTCACTTGCGAGGTGAGTTCTCTAAACGATACACTATAGGACTCCACAATGATGCGTCTCTCCGTTCATCTTTGTCCAAGTCCCTAAATCGTAACATATGGAGTGTGTCCTTACAATGCTCCCAGTGTGATCCTTCCACTTCTCAAGCTCTTGTGTCTTTGCCTTGTGAAGTCCATTCTCTCAACGGGATTAGAGAATTACTGTCACTTAGTGTCCAATTTGTTCTCTGAGCTCCCGTCCATTGGGAACTGGATTCCAAGTGCTGGACACTTAACAGACATCAGAGGAGGGAAATCTTGATCCCATCTGTCTGTCCTGGATTAAAATTCAGCTCTCAATGATGAGGAACTGACTCCATAACACATCCATCCTCAGAGGATAGAGTTCAAAATCCTCGTCTTTTCCTTCAAAACCCTCCATGGCCTTGCTCTTTCCTAACTCTGTGACCTGCTAATTCCTTGTAGACCCGTCCGCTCCCTCCACTCAGTGGGCACCGGCCTACTCCAAGTCCCCCACCATCAGTGGTCAGGCTTTCAGCGTCCCTGCCCTTTGGAACTCCATCCCACAGTCCCCTCGCCTCACTCCCTCCCTTGCCTCATTCAAGACCCTAACCTTCCTGCCCTCCACCCTCCTGATCCCAACCCCCAGCTCAGGTCCAAATGAGGCCCTTATACAGCGCCCTTTGTAAGGGGTAGTGTCTCGGAGCACTGGATAATGGTGCAGTCTGATGCAAAGCCGGGGAGAAAAGGGAGGTGACCATAGGCACAGGGGAAAGTCTTCGGGTGTGAACTGAAGATGGGTAAAGAGGGAACAAGAGGTCAAAGGATTGAGGCACAGGGTTTCAGAGGGTTAGGTCCCAGTCAGCGCAAGCGGTGTTAAAAAATTGTATAAAACGTGTTAAAAGTTGCCTTCCTTTAACCCTACCGGCCATTCCCTTTGTTCAGCGAGCACCAGTCTGCTTCATGTCCCTATCTCCACCCACCGATTCCCCACAGCTCACCCCCACCCCTCCACTCCTATCCATTCCGCCATCGGCAAGCGGCTTTCAGCCATTCTGCCCCTGCTCCCTGGAATTCTATCCCCAAATCCTTTGGACACGTTCCCTCTCTCAACTCATTCAAGTCATGTCTCGGCACGTACTTTTGTGATCGGCTTTCAGTCATTCCCCCCCACACACCTCCTCGTCTCCCATCCAGCACCATGAAGCGCTTTGAGGCATCCTCCCTATATCAAAGGTGCTGTATAAATGTATAATCTGTATTGTATTGTACTTAACCACATGGACTACCTTTGCCTTATGCACTGAGCCACGGTACAAACGCTTCCTGAATATTTATCACCTTCCTATTGTTGGCTCCTCTTACACTGTCGAGTTCCAATCACTTGGGTTTTTTTTAAGCTGATTTCGCTTCCCTTTAATATCCGCTGCTGCAAAATTCAACATTGTTATGTTATAATCCTTTCCACATATCCCAAGGCTCAAAATTCCACCCAGCTTCAGTCTGTGAGAACATTTTGTCTTAGCATTTACGAACACATAGATTTGTGGAAAACTCATGAATTCAGACTTGCCTTGTGAGCTGTCTGCCTGCAGTTATTCAGAAGAACTGGCTCCCAATTTAAGGGTCAATCATAAGAATTCTGTTCCAGCTCAATTGATAAGACAACGTGCTGAGGCTAAGGCGAGGTGAAATTTTGGTCTTCTGTTTGTTTTCCTATAGACTATTCCCCCATCACCCCAGTCCTTCCCAGGTTCCACTGGGTCCCTATCATATAACGATTGACTTCAAGATCCTCACATTCATTTACGAATCACTTCATGCCCTGGCACTTCCCTATCTTTCTGACCTGCTTACACCCCACTCCACTACCCTCCACTCTAGCTCTGGCCTCCTGCACATCCCTTGTTCCCCACCGCTCCACCATCGGTTGCCACACCTTCAGCCATTACCCCCTGAAACTATGGAACTCTCCTCCTCAATCCCTACGCCTTGCCACCTCCTTCCCTGTCTTCAAACCACACGCGAAGACCTTTCTCTTCGACCGTGCATACTGTCACTTCTCGGCTTGGCATCAAACTCCGGCATTGTTAAGCACTCCGAGACTACTTTGCGTGAAGGGCCCTATATAAATGCAAGTTGTTGTAACCTTGTTTTATGTGGGTTCCAGGCAATGCGTGGGTTGAGGTTGGCTGTGATGCCTTCCTTCCCTTTGGTCAAACTGGTCACTGAATCTCGCTGCTCATATACTTAGTCACTTGGTCAAGGTCTTAGAGGGTTACCAGAGGCTGAGGAACTGTACCTGAGTGTGGCTTACCAAGTAGTAATAATAATAATCCTTGCATTTAATACAGCACCTTTCACGTCTCAAAGCCACTCACAGGATTTTAATGCGCAGCATAGTTTCAACGTAGCATGGAGCCAATTTGCCCACAAAACAGCCATGAATTTAACGAACAATTAAATTGTTTTGATTAAATTAAAATTTAGTTCGTCAGGACACAGGGAGAAACTTTCTCTTTTAGACTTTTCAAATTGCGTGTGTTGCTCTTTTCAGACACAGACGGGACCTCGGTTTAACGTCTCATCCGAAGTACACACAAAGGTTCCCCCAGTGCTGTGTCGCAGCCTCAGCCTAAACTTGCGAGTGCTAAACACAGATGAAGGAGAGAGAACACAGATTTTGTTCGTAAAATGAAAAGCGCCGTGCTTTTTTTTTTAATAAACTTTATTCTATATTACAAATAGTAAATTTTTTTGTTCTGAACTGCAAAATAGGAATGCATTATATTTACATACACAGGTATACAATTAATTATAACAAAGTTACAGAAGCTTGCCCTAATCAAGTCTTTTTTTTTTGTTTTCCTTCCCGATTTGTTAAGTATATTTCGTGATTAGGATAAAAACCTAAAAGTCTCGTTTTCGTTTTTTTTTGACACTTCTTCGTAACACTGGTTCCTAAGGGTAAGTTATAACAATTTATTTTTTATCCTTTTCATTTAAAATGGAAGGAGAAAGAGAGAGAGAGAGAGACAGAGAGTGAGAGAGAGAGAGAGAGAGAGACGATCACATTACAAACCACTCAGGCTGGGCGCACGTTCAGGCAAAAGGAAAAAAAAAATTGTGGAGTTTGAAGGGGGAAATCGGGAGGAAGTAGAAGATGGTGAGAGAGAGAGAGAGAGAAAGAAACTATGTCCACATTCATGGCATTGCTGAGCATCATCAATTCCCTTCCCCCTTCCCTTTCTTCCTTCCCCCTCTCCGCGCACACTCCCCTCCCACTCTCTCCCCTCTCCCCCAACCCAACTCAACACACCACACCCTCCCCCCACTCAAAGTACATGCGCTTTTATTTGAATTTTTAATCTTATTTAACAAAAAAAAAGCTAAGATGCTCAGATCCATCCACATTCACATCACACTTCTGGCACATTTCAAGGCAAAAAAAAATATAGCTGCTTTCGTCGTTTTTTTTTGATATAATCTGAGCAGGATGAATAGAGGCAGCTTCAGAGTTTCACATTAATACGATATCTATGTTCATTCAACACGTTTTCCTGTGTAAAATCCACGAGGCTCGAGTATTCAATGCCGGCTTCTCAACGACATAAAGTCACCCACCCGGCTTCTCGACGAATCCATCTCTCCTTCGTCTAACACGTGCAAATCACGTCTTCCGTTCCTTTTTATCCCCCCCTCGCTTTCTCTTTTTTTTTTATTTGTTAAAAATCGGCGCTTTTTGTGTGTGTTTTATTTTTATTCCGTTAATTTTGCCTCCCCCCTTCTTTCCCGAACGAAAATCCCACAGTCAATCGTTCTGTGTCCCGGTGTGCAAAATAATAATAAAAAAAACAGAGGGGTTTGATGCTCGTTCCAAAGCCAGCTTAGCTCGTTTTAGGTTGTTTGTGGAACCTCACACGTAGGTAGATGACGGTCAATAAAATGCTATTTAAAGTTTCCGCACTGGCACTTGTTCACTAAACAGCACTGAATTCCTTTGGTCTTCGCTGGCTGGGGGAAAAATCCACGCTTTTCCAACTAAATGTACATTTTTCTTTTTTTTTTTCCCCCCATCTCAAAGTTCCTAAAATGTTCCGACTCGACTCTGGAGAATGTCAAATTGCGTGCACTGATTTTGCAGTGAATCACCAGATCATCATCAGCATATTTCTTTTGATTCCGACTGCAAGGTTGAAGATTCTTTGTACCTTTGTGTTTGCGCACGTGTTGTGGTGCGTGTGTGTGCGTGTGTGTGTGTGTGTGTGTGTGGTGAGCGTGTGCATCTGTGGCTTACATCTCTCCACACCATAGCAGCTCACATCCCAGTTCTGGAAGAAAATCGTACCTATGATTGATAAGACCAGCCCGCCACAAATTTTGCAAGGTCCTCCTCATTGCCTCTCTTAGGATCCTTCACCAAAGACGGCCTGAAACACTTGTGCACAATTCTCACACAGTCACAGTTTGCTTCACTGTCCTCCAGCGGGGAAGAGAGATGAACAGGAAATATATTATTTTCTCAATTACACGCAGATGAAAGACTCTTCTGCAGAAGAGAGTTTGAGAATTCTTCTGCTGTCCAAAACCCCAAGGCCAATTGGTTGCCAGTATTCATGTCTGATACTCTTCCGTCCCAAAGGAAATAAGGGCAGCATTTTACACACGTTCTGTTTACTTATTGTCCATCAGGTGGATGAGAGGAAAGACAGGCAAAATTCCTCTGTTGAAGGTGGTCAGGAAAACTAGCGAGTTTCAGTCTCCTGCTAATATTACGGTGCAAGATAGTTGAATCTTTTTTTTTAGCCATTGGGTGATCGATGTCGTATTAACTGTTCACTGACCTTATGGAGACATACAGCGATGTCCAATCATGTTCGGGGCGAGAGAAAGTGAGAAAGTGGGGAGATCGAGTGAGCGAGCGAGCGAATGAGGCCAGAGATAGAGAAATGAAGAACTAGAGCGGCAGAGAAATGGAGAGAAGAGACGTCCAGGTGTCTCTGCTTGTAACCAATCGTAACTTGCACTTGAAAGGCAATCATCTATAGTCAGGCACAGCTTGGCTTCTTATACCCAGGAAAGTGCCACTCAACTCTCTATGGACATGAAAGCGACCACTTGTTCAAGTTTATAAGATAGTTTCTGCCTTCTGGCTGGATCTTCAAATTCCAGAGCACTGATAACCTGCGGAGCAGAGCAAACAGGGATATCAATATAGATTCCAACCCAACTATTCAGTGTGTCAGCCTGGCTCAGGTATAATAACATTACTTCTAACTTTATTCTATTATAATACACTAATTAATATACCAAATGCAAACGTTTTCGAGACGTCTCAAAGCGCTTCACAGAATATACCATAAAGTGAATTGACCGTGTATTTTGTGGGTGAAAGGCGGCAGCCAGATGAGAAAAAACACAGTTGGGTAGCCTCCGAGTCAGAAGGCTTGTGGGTTCAAGCCCCCCCACCCCCCCACATCGGGACTTGAACTCGCGAAGAATAGGTTGACGCTCCAATGCAGTGCCGGGGAAGCTGGTGGATTGTCGGAGGTACCGTCCTTCGGTGGAGATGTAAAACTGAGGTCCTGTCAGCCTGCTCGTCATTCACCTCGCGGCTGTTTGCGAGACATTGCTGTGCGCAAGTTGGGCTGCTGCGTTCACCTAAAACGTACTAAGTCACTACTCTTGACTGTGAAGCGCTTTGAGATGTCCAGACGTGAAAGGTACAGTGTCAAAGGCACGGGTTATTATTTGATAGGTTTGAGCCAGTTGTGCACACACTCACCTCTTCACTGTATTTGCTGACGTATGAGTAGATTTCACTGAGGGCACTCATCGTGTTGAATTCACTCATGTGCATTCGGGACTGCTCTGCTAGGTAAGCGTTCATGTCCTGGTCACTGATTGCTGGCATTTTCCCGATGTCTGCATAGTATCTGCGTGGAGCAAGGACAAACGAGAAAGTGTTAAAATCAATGCCGTCTATCACGGCAGATTGATGTTATGGTGGGAGGGTGGTAAGGTGGGTGTTACGGAGGAATAAGATCAGATGGGCCGAAGGGCCTTCTTCTTGTGAGTGACAAACTATCATGTTTTCTGCAATTAATTATCTCACACACAAGCAGATACACACGCACATACATGCACACATAAATACACAGTACTCAGGCACGCATGCACACGCATCGCATTCGAACTTAAAACACAACAGAAGAGCAGCATTACTCAAACGTGTCTTGTGGCTCGGGCTTCTGCAAGGCTTAGAGATTTCCACGCAGTGTTTTGGGATATTTTATAGACTGGAGGACGAAACTCTCAGCGTTTCGCATTTTCCTTTTTTAATGCACGTGGTTGTAAAAAAGCCAGTTACCCTAATGTACACTCTGGGCTCCAGCCAAATTGCACCTAAAGCTCTCCAGAATTAGGTAAGCAGAGTGCGTTCCACTGGGGTGGGGGGGGGGGGAGAGAGAGAGAGAGAGTGTGTGCATTGCCATCCGAGAGACACAATGAGATTTGCTTTGCGGGTCTTTAAACCGTATGTCAGCGGAAATACTTTATAATCGACTAAATGACTGTCATTGTGTGAATGCGAGTGCTTCAAAGAGCAATTTCAAGATTTAGCGCAATTTGATTTAAATACAGAGAACTGAATTGCTCATTACGATTTGTTGCTTTTGGGGGGGGGGAGGGAAGCTGGCAAAGTGCCGTTACGGCTATAAAATATGAAGCCATAAACAAGGGGATGCAAAAGAATTCCCACAAGAGCCATGAAGTCTCCTCTCTTATTAATCAATGGGAATTACTGCATATACCAAGAGCAGGCAGCAGCTTTGTGTTCGATGGCATGAAGAATTTCTTCTTGTCCCTTTCACTGTACAGGTTCAATGTTAACTGTTTGTTGTTTTGTTCAGCCGGGAGTCTGACGCTTGCAGGAACCCATCACCGCGCTTAAGGGAGTCCAAACCCAGACTGGGCATATGTTCCACATATGTGTGTCACCTACGCATGGAAATTTCCCTTGTGTCTGGAATGGGATGCACACTCTCTCCCTGGAGGGACACACTATGCCACACTATCCTTACCTATCGTGGAGATGTCTTCGGCCCAAGCCAAGGCTTGGGGGACCCCAGACTGAGGGTTGGGAAACTGCTGGAGTCTATCCAGCTAAAACCACTCAAACCTGTTCTCGTTTGTCCTCTAGCTACACAGTCATTCCGTTTACAGTAAAATCCCGCGAAGCACTTTCTTTGTGACATCCTCCCAACGTCAAATATAAGGATGATTAGGATTTTATTCGTCCACCGCACCAGACTCTCTGTTTTACTTTGAGGCTGTTATGAGCAACACGTTGCGAGACTGACCTTTCCACCCAGCTTTTGTAGTTGGGGATGTCCTTGGCGTAAAGCAGTTTATTGGAGGGTGAGTCCTTCCCCAGGCGGTGCTCGGATGTTGAGCAGGAGTCCATGAACGTCTGAGCCACCACTGACAGGCAGGCGTCCGTGATGCTGCTCTTGTGGATGTCAAAGACAAACTGAGGGTTTTTGATCACATTGACCCAGAACCTCAAGGGTAAGCTGCAGAGAGAGAGAGAGAGAGAGAGATGCCGTGAGCACAGACACACTCTTAAGCACCGTCACTAACTCGCTGACTTCAAGATCCTCACCCACCCCCCAGCTGTAGATCCCACAGTGCTAATTATAATAATAACCCTTACATTTGATACAGTGCCTCATCGCGTCTTCGAGACGTCTCAAAGCGCTTCACAGAATGTACCGCAAAGTGAATTGACTGTGGATTTTGCGGGCGTAAAGTGAAGGCCAATTGCCCACAGCAGCGTCCCCCACACACAAAGAGTGGTGGATCGAGTGACCAAACTACTCGAAAAGAGAAAGGAGTTTCTCCCAGTGACCCGGTCAAAAATTCCTCCCAGTAAATTGGTCACCCACTTCATGGCAGCGCCTTGGGATGTCCTCCCGATTTGTGAAAGGCGCTGTATAAATGCAGTTTGTTGTTGTTGTTATAGCTGAAATTGCTCTGGACTGACAGCCTGGACTGTGAGCTAAATGTCCTCGACGTGGGGCTTGATCCCATAAGCCCTCAAGAGCGAGAGTGCTATTGACTGAGCCAGGTTGCTAGCAAACAGCAACGACGACAACAACTTGCATGTATGTGGCGCCCTTCGCATGGGGTTATGCATCAAAGGCAAATAAAGACTGTCATTCAATAGTCAGTCCGCATACTCCTCGTTTAGAAGTCGGGGACGCTCAGAGAAAGACGCTGAAGTATAATGTTTAACATTCAGTACACCGCTGATCAATATCAATAACCAAAACAAGGATTATATTCTTATCAACAATAAAGGCAGAAACGGCTAGAATTTCACTGTAGGTTAAACGTGATGTGTGAGAGAGAGAGAGAGAGAGAGAGAGAGAGAGAGAAGGGGGGGGGGAGAGAAAGACTTCACTTTGCGTTATAGATTTACTTTCTGTGAATTTCCCACGTTTGACACTTTTATTTCATATTTCCGGTGCCTAGATTTAGATTGTGTTGCTGGAATGGACAGCGGGTTCATTTATAAAATGGCATCAGCCATCGGATGAAATGCACTGAGAGGGTGGGGGTGATCTTTAATTAAAACACCCTCAACGTTACATCTGATTTCAATTGGCTGCTGCGTTTCACCCCCACACTTGACTTCACAGTATATTCAATGAAGCACTTTGAGACGTCTCAACGACGTGATAAGGCGCTCTATCAAATGCAACAATATTTATTATTATTATTATTATTATTTTCATGGCTGTTGTAGGACACTAATTTGTGCAAAATTGGCTGCCATGTTTACGCAGAAAAACTATGTGAAATGCCTTGAGACCTCTCGATGACATGATATGGCGCTATATCAAAGGGTTATACAGTCAATTCACTTTACAGTATATTCTGTGAAGCGCTTTGAGACGTCTAGAAGACATGAAAAGTGCTCTACCAAATGCAAGGATTATTATTGATATTATTCTTGTTATTTTTATTCTTTGTTATTCATTTGGTCGCACTCTCATACTCTTTCCCCCAAACCCTGAGACATTTTTTTTCTTTTGCAAATATTTGTTTCCAATTCCTTTCAAAAAGATTCAAGCCATCATCTTTGGTGGGGGCATAATAAGGCTAATAACGATAATAATAATCATAATAATAATCATAATAAATATCCTTTTGACATGGCGCACACACAAATAAATTCTACGGCTGTCTCCTTAGGAATATTTGTGTTTTTTTAAAAAAAATTACGAGCTGTCAATAACAGTTCACCAACCAGTTGAAATAGCTTCTCCCTGTTTACCTTGCCCAAGCTCCTCATAATTGTGAACATCTCTCTCAGGGTTTCCTTTCAGATCGAGAGAAAACTCTTATTGCTCCGATGATGGCCGGTTTTGCCCCTCCAGCATCTTTGAAAATTGCTTTGATTGTTCAGTGCCCTCACTGTAACTCTCTCCCATCACTTGCGCTCTGGGAATGCTATTCCGTGTGAATAAATGCAAGTTGTCGTTGTTGTTGTGCCAGGCACCTTCCGCACACTCACTGTGGAATTTTCTGCCTGAGAAAAACTGGCCTCTGACCTTATTAAGGTGAAGGATGTGATATAACACTAATAATCATCCTTGCATTTGATGCAGCGCCTTATCATGTCATTGAGACGTCTCAAAACGATTCACAGAATATACTGTAAAGTGTATTGACTGCGTATTTTGTGGGTGAAACATAGCAGTCAAATTGCGCACAGCGGTGTCCTACAAACCGTAGTGGATCGAGTGACCACAATTTTTTTTGGGGGGAAGGGATTCGCCAATCGACTAAAAGCCACCACACCTCAGTGCAAAAGATCGAATTGAAATCCCTCATTAGAAAGATAGGATGATCTCTAAAATCTTAACTCCTCCAACGCATTAAACATTTCGCTGGTGTTCCTCAGAGGGTACGATCAGAATTACTGATGGATTTTCTATTTAAAACACAAACTCCACCGTGTGATAAATGAAGCATTTCCACACAATTAAGGCTATTATGTTGCACAGAAAACAAACATCTGCCTTTTGTTCATGACTTTTAAACGAGCGCTTAATCTTCCTCTAGTTTTAATCAATGGTGACATGAAGGGCTTGGGACAGATCCCGCTGCCTCTCCTGACTGGAATGAGCTATTTGTGATTGAGTGCATTGGAGAGCTCCAGCCCTCTTTTACCAAACGGAAAAACAATTTAGAGATTGGAATGTGTTGGCGTCCAGAGGGACTTGGGTGTCCTTGTACACCAATCACAGAACGTTAGTCTGCAAGTGCAGCAGCAATTAGGAAGGCGAACGGTATGTTAGCATTCATTATGAAAGGATTAGAGTATAAGAGTAGCGAAGTCTTTCTGCAACTGTATAGGGCCCTGGTGAGACCACACCTGGAATACTGTGTCCAGTTTTGGTCTCCTCATTTAAGGAAGGATGTACTTGCCTTGGAGGGGGTGCAGCGTAGATTTACTAGGTTAGTACCAGGGATGAAGGGGATGAGTTACGAGGGTAGGCTGACCAATTTGGGCCATATTCTCTAGAATATAGAAGAATTAGAGGGGATCTTATAGAAACCTATAAGATCATCAAAGGGCAATATAGAGTAGATAGTGGGAGATTGTTTCCTCCGGTTGGAGAAACTAAAGCCAGGGGTCACAACCTTAAAATCAGAGGCCAGCCCTTTCGGACTGAGTTGAGGAAGAACTTCTTCACTCAAAGAGTGGTGAATGTATGGAACTCACTACCCCCAAAGGGCTGTTGACCCTCAGTCCTTGAAAATATTCAAGACTGAGATAGATAGATTTCTTATTGCAAAAGGGATTAAGGGATATTGGGGATAAGGTAGGGTCAGGTTATTAGCTGGAGTTAGATTAGAAGGTCAGCCATGATTGAATGGCGGGACAGGCTCGAAGGGCTGAATGGCCTACTCCTGCTCCTACATGTTATGTTATGTTGTGTTACAATACATGTCCTACGATTTACTCAGAACTTACAGCACAGAAACAGGCCATTCAGCCCAACCAGCCCATGCCAGTGTTCATACTCCACACCAGTCTTCACCCATTCCTTTACTCCCTCCTACACCTTTCTGTTCCCCTCTCCCTCATGTGACGGTCAAACTTCCTCTTGAATACAACTACACTATCTCGCTATCTAATTAAATCCCAATTTCGCTTTCTTCTGCTAAAGCTCACTTGGCAAATAAAAGGGATGGAAAGAAGCACAACTTCGATCACGACAACAAATGACATTTACGCAGCACCATTCACGTCCGGAGGACGTCCCAAAGCACTGGACAGTCAGGGATTTGGACCCGAGCTGGGGGTTGGGATCAGGAGGGTTGGAGGGCAAGGAGGGCAGGAGTGGGAGGGTAGGAAAGTGATACAACTCCTGGAAAATACGTGTGAACAATGGGAGAGGACCAGGTTCAGCGCTGAGTGTGACACAGAACCCCCTCTCCCACCTCACCTCTCCCCAAGGATGAGAGATCTGCCAACGCTGAGCGTCTGAGCTCACACGTGATGAACTGCACCATGTACAGGAAAGCAGAGAGTGGCTGCCTCCTGCAGAGAAGCCGTGCGTGAGGCCAGACAGGATAACGTTGGCGGTCAGGGAAGAAACAACATTTGTGAAACATTGCAATGAAAGCAAGTTGGAAATGAGCAGAGATACGAGATTGAGTACGAGCGTGTGTGTGTGTGTGTGTGTGTGTGTTCTGAGTCCCATTTCAGACCGTTAATGAAATGCATTTTAAAATTGGGTTATCACACGGAGAAACAGAGGCACACAGGATATGTGCATCCTCAATGGGTATCTAACCAGGCGTTACCAAACCGGCAATTTCAATGCATGGGACTCCATGTGGAAGTGGCATTTGTGTGTTAATGGGGTGTGCCTATCTCGCCAGGTGTGTTATTGTATTTCTGTCCTATTTACTGATATATCACAACCGTTCCATTTCCTCCGGTCCATTCCCTTCTGAATGCATTTTCACTCGTGTGGGCACACAAGAGGGGAACGAGCTTATTACCTACTAAGGAAATACAGAGAGGACCGTGTAGTTTGAAGGAGATATATATATATATACAGTCTCCGTGATATAGGAATACTGCAATTTACATCACGAAAGCAAATACCAATCCATTGTAATAATAATGGAAAAATACAGTCAATCCACTCAAACAATATATCCTGTGAAGCGCTTTGAGACGTCTTAACAACCCGATGAGGCGCTATATCAAATGCAAGGATTATTATTATTATTGCATTTGGTTTAGCACCTTTCATGTCGGGAGCACGTCTCAAAGCGCTTCACGGGATGTACTGCTAAGTGTGGTGTAGTGACTGGGCATTTTGTAGGCGAGCGCACACAGCCACGCCCCACGAACACAGCTGCAAAGCGAATGACCCGGTTTTATCTTAGGGGTCAGGCGCTCCGAGACGCCGTCCGGGTTGAAGGCGAGTTGCCGTCCTCGTTGCTGTCTGCACTCACCAGTTGCTCTTCCAGGTGTGTCTGACGTGAGGGTCGTAGATCTGGTGCTTGTCTGCCTGCTCGTCGAGGAAATCAAACATGTACTTGATGGCCAGAGGCAGCGCGCTCCCACGGTGAGCGGTGCTGAAGATGGTCTCGAACAGGTCGTCCACAAACTTCTGCAGGGTTCCCTGCAGATTCGTTAGGAGAGAGAGAGAGGGAGAGAGAGACGGACAGAGAGAGAGAGAAGTGAGTCAGCAATGTGAGACTCACATAGCAAAGTCTTACGGTGTCGGCAAAGCAAGCTGTCCAACAGAGTTCTGCTGTTGTGTGTGGGGTGTGTGTGGGGGGTGTGTGTGGTGTGGGTGTGTGTGTGGGGGGGCGGGGGGGTGTGTGTGTGGGTGTGTGGGTGTGTATGTGTGGGGGGGGTGTGCGTGGGTGTGTGTGTGTGTGGGTGTGTGTGTAGTGGGGGGGGTGCGTGGGTGTGCTCGTGTGTGTGTGGGTGGGCTAAAATACACCATTTCTTTTTGATAAGAAATCCTGTCATAAATCCTACTGACATGTCGGGAGGACGTCTCAATCCGCTTGGCAGTGGGCTGGATGATTCTCCGAGCTGAGGGTGGGAGCTGAGGGGTGGGTGGGTGGGGAGGGGGGGAGGGAATGGCAGGTGAGGAGGGGAAAGACGACTGAAAGCGCAGTCAAAGTGGCGGGCGCCTTTTGAAACGTGCCTCGTAACAAGGGAACGGAGGGTCGGGAGTGAGTCGGAGGGACTCTGAGATGGAGTTCCAGAGAATGGGGGCTGGGATTGGGGGGGGGGGGGAGTTAAAATGTCTGAAAGCCCATCGATGGTGGGACTGGGCAAAGCAGGAGACGTGAAGCAAGCGCAGGACTGAGGTGATGGGGTTAATGCATCAGGTCTCGGTGGTTGCACACTGAGTAGATAAGGATGAATAGAGCGGCAATCCACGATCGCAGAATTTTCTCATTCTGCTCAAATGGTGCAGAAGAATCCTGTTAGCTGACAATCAAAATATTCCTCGGATGTCAGGGACTTGTGACAGCTTATCTTGGCGGCAAAGTGAGTTGGAAGAGGGGAGGAGGGGTGGCGGAGAGAGAGAGAGAGAGAGAGAGGGAGAGAAAGATGGAACTCTGTGTATCTTAGCAGCCGCTGAGGGTAGCATTAATAAACGTCTGACAGGCTTCATCTGTTTGACAGGCCAGAGAAAAGCATTGCCTCTCTCATATATATATATATATATGTATATATGAGCACACACACACAGATAGGCCTTTTTTTTCCGTCGAGAAGAATTTTATGCCATTTAAGAAAACCAGGCAAAACTGGCTTACGAATTCCCGCACGTTAAAGGTGTCACTGGAATCAATTTTCCCGCGAGCGCGAGAAAAAGAAAAAAAAAAATTGCCACTTGTAAGTGACACTGATGGGACCCGGCTTCCATGTTAGCGTGTAAACAACAGTCTCTCTTATTTATTGGGGCTAAAAGGGCAAACAAGGTAAATTATATGCTTGTCACACAACAATCTCTCCAAATGTGTACTCAGTGGGAATCGCTGTGGTTAGCAGATGGGACGGGATGCAGGCGGGGGTGGGGGAAGGGGAGGGATTTTTTAGGGAGCAGAGGTTTTTTTTTTCCCCTGACTCTTTGTCAGTTATAAATGGCACCGTGGAAGATTGAGAGCGAGTAACAAGGTAGTAATTTAATAGAAAGATCAAGGCAGTGTCATAAATCATCAGGGAGCAGCCCCCACACGTGGGGCTGTGCGTGGAAGTGGTTGAGATGCCCTTTCTACGCGCTGCCTCACACAGCCGGCTGGAGTTTTGCGCTGTATTTTTCTAAAGCGGCTTCTTAAATTAAGATATCCATCATAATTCGGTCACTTCAATCCACGCTGTCTGTGGGGACGCTGCTGTGCGCAATTGACTGCCACGTTTCGCCCACAAAATACACAGTCAAGTCACTTCACAGTAAATCCTGCGAAGCGCTTTGAGACGTCTCAACAGCAACAACAACAAGATTACATTTGTATAGCGCCTGTCACGTCGGGAGGACGTCCCAAGGCCCTGAGTGTGATAACAATGTGATAAGGTGCTCTTTCAAAGGAAAGATTATTGTTATTATTAATAATATTTTCATACGGGGTAGAGGGGGGGTGGGGGAAATTGGGGAGGAATCTGCTCACTCATCTGAATTAAGTCACTCTGACTTGAGAGAATCACTCCTCCGAAAATAGACAGAGCTGGAATTGCGTTCGGACTTCCTGACTCTTTCTTTAAGAAATCCCATTGGAAATCGGTGCAACATTGGCATCGCTGTGCGTTCTTTGGAGTTGACCTGTTAATTGCCTCGATTATGAACCCCAAAACTGACAAAAGGTGACCCCTCTCACTCCCCCAAACATTCCTAACACAAGCCTCGCTAAGTCCGTGTTCGATCGGTAGTGCGTTTTCAGTTTTTGCTTCTTGATTGAATACTTTTTGATTTATGACATAAATCAGGAAATACTGAATCAAGAAAATGTACTTTTTGGGCCATCCAAAAAGGTTAACCACTACTGTACAAGAGGCAGATATTCTTTTTACTCAGATCACATAAACCCCGCAAGCCAAAGCCCTCACAGTTATGGTGGTAATAATAATAATTGAATTTGATATAGCAACTTATCACATCGTTGAGACGTCTCAAAGCGCTTCACAGAACACGCTGTAAAGTGAATTGATCGTATATTTTGCGGGCGAAATGCAGCAGCCAATTGCGCGCAGCAGCGTCCCACAAACAGTCGCGGATAGTCTTAGCTGGACAAGACGCAGGAAGCTTGCCACACAGTGCTCTCAATGGTAAGCTCTGTGACTTTAGCGTGGTGATGCGTTTCCGCTGACTAAAACAAAAAACCCTTTGCCTCCACCTTAACGAAAAATGTGCATTGTGAATAATTACCAAGTGAGCTCAAGGTTACCACTTCAGGGCGGGTGAAGCTGAACTGGAATGCCAGTCAAATAAGATCTTTAGGTCACCTAACAGATTAAGAGGTTGAAGTTAATGCCTTGATGTGGGCAATTTACACCAGTGTCGTAATTACGGGCGTAATTGGTGCAATCAGGGAGGTTCCTTAACGACACTACTTTCATTAAACTGGGCTGGTAACGTACCTGAGCCTTGGGCAGGCAAATAGGGTTTAACCTGCAAACTACCCTGGCAATGAACAGGCTGGGGCATGTGGGCACATGGGATAGATGAAGTCTGACATCTGGCTTGTCACGGTGATGTTATGCTTGCATCGGTGTTTATTGAAGCTGCAGCCAAAGGCAGCGCATCTGTGGACCTGACTAACAAAATTCAGCAGTCCCTTCAGAAGCTCTCGCGGTGTAATGATAATAATCCTTGCATTTGATATAGCGTCTTATCACGTCTTCGAGGCGTCTCAAAGCGCTTCACAGTATATGCTGCAAAGTGGATTGACTGTATATTTTGTGGGGTCAAGACACAGGAAGAGGTCATAGAGTCACAGGACACAAGGAGCAATACAGTATAGTCTGAGAGCTTGAAAACGATTCTCTCCTAATCCTATCTCAGAGCTCGTTGACCTGACCCTTTGTTGCTCAAATTCTTCTGCATAATTGTTCTCTGCGGGAGGTATTAAACTGATAAGGGGAACTACAAAAATCTCTAGGTCGGAAGGAGGTCATCCTTCAAAAACAAAAGATTAAGTTTGCAACGATTCCCATTATGTGACCTGAAGCTAATCTAATATTCCTTATGAAATTTGACGGTGAGGTTCGTTCTTCGACTGTTATTGGAAATCTGGTCAGCAAGGTTTGGGGCTGCGTTGTTCTTAAAGGATTACTAACATCTTGCTTTGTCTCCCAAGGTACAATACACAAAGTTAGTAATAAAAACCTTTACATCTGATTAGGAGAAACTTTTTCCACTGGCTGGTGGGTCAGGAACCAGAGGACACAGATTTTAAGATAATTGGCAAAAGAACCAGAGGGGAGACGAGAAGAATTTTTTTTTAACGATTTCAAGTTGTTACGATGTGGGATGCACTGCCCAAAAGGATGATGGAAGGAAGCAATAATAACTTTCATAAGGGAATTGGATGCATACTTGAAAAGGAAAAAAACATTGCAAGGCTGTGGGGAAAGAGCGGGGGTGTGGGATTAATTGGATAGCTCTTTCAAAGAGCCAGCACAGGCACGATGGGCCGAATGGCCTCCTTCTGTGCTGTAAGATTCTATGATTTTTTTATCGCCCTATCACCTACAAATCCATCTACAAATACAGTCAGCACACTTTACAGTACATCCTAGGGTAATAATCCCTCAAAAACATAATTTGGTCACTCAATCCACGACCGTTAGCAATTGGCTGGCGCATTTCGCTCACAAAATATACAGTCAATTCACTTGACAGTATACTCTGTGAAGCGCTTTGAGACGTTTTGAAGACGTGATAGGGCGCTATGTGAAATGCAAAGATTATTATTATTATTATTATGTTAGGAGGAATCTCGAAATGCTTCACAGAGCTGACTGGGAGCTTGAGGCTTGGGGTGGGGACAAGAAGCAGCTCAGTCTTTACTAAACGGAGGAGACAGCTAGGCTGTATGATCGCAGCAATGAGGAGCTGTGTCGAATGCAAGGATTATTTTTATTCTTACAACAAGGAAACATCTCAAAGCACTTCACAGGTAATTGCTTGTCAAGTGTTAATTTGTTTTTAAGAACTGTGGAGAATTGGCTTCCAAACGAATACTCTTCCACAATATTCAACGCAACCAGATGTCAGCCTGGCTCAGTGGTAGCGCTCTCGCCTCTGGGTCTGAAGGTCGTGGGTTCAAGCCCCACGTCGGGACTTTGAACCTCACGCTCTGGGCTGACCCTCCATCGCAGTGTTGGAGGAGCTCTGCGCTGTCAGAGGTGCCGTCCTTCGGACGAGACATTAAACCGAGGTCTCTCGTCTGCCCATTCAGGCGGACGTTAAAGATCCCGCGGCGCTATTTGAAAAGAGAAGGGGGTATCTCCCGGTGTCCTGACCGACAATCCCCCAGATAAAATGAAGTTATTCACTTCATGGCTGTTTGTGGGACATTGCTGTGTGCAAATTGGCTGCCACCTTCACCTATAAATATCTAGTCACTGCACTTCATAGTAAAATCCCATCAAGTGCTTTGAGACATAATAATAGTAATAATAATAATCCTTGCGTTTGATATTGCGCCTTATCATGTCTCCGAGACGTCTCAAAGCGCTTCGCAGGATACACCGTAAAGTGAATTGAGGGCGTATTTGGTGGGCGAAACGTGCTAAGGCCTTATACGAAATGCAATCAATGGATTATGATAAATGGTCTGAACAGAGGCAAAAAGCAAAACTCTTTTAAGTATTGAAGGTTGGGTCGCGGTCGATTCCTCCAGAGCTCTCACCGCGGGTGGGTTCAAAGCACTTTGTGACAGGCGAGAGATAAGAAGGAGCAATGGGTCTAACCCAAGCCCCTCCGTGAAGCCAAATAGCAGCACGACTTTTACTACTTAAAGGAGATGTAACGATGTGAATCAGGCCTCAGCTATCCAGCCACCACACACCGCTGAGCATAGGCTCCGAGCGCATTGTTTACGGGGGGGTTGGGGAGGGATAAGGATCTTGTCTCTCTCTCTCTCTCTCTCTTCAGAAAAGGTGGATGGTGGAGATATTTCCAGCCTCCGCACGCCGGTTACTGAGAGGCGGCTAAGGGGAAAGGATTAGCCGTATTATTAAGTCGCTATTTTTCTCCTGTGCCGGAATTTTTTTTTGATGGATGATGATGTTAATGGGAGACTGTGTTGGCTGAACTGTCAGCCGTGTCGGAACAGCTGAGACGCTGCTGAACTGAGTCTCCCTGGACCCTTGCCGAGGTCGCTGTTAACCGTTCGAGCGCCAACGCAGCTTACCAACTTACCGAGAGAGACACCAGAGACAGAGAGTGGGGTATTCTGGTTGCACATTTCTGCACAGCACCTTTGCCCATTCACCTCTCTCCCTATCTCCGGTTCCCATTCTATTTCTGTGAATTTATTATTATTATTATTACTATTATTATAATCCTTGCACTTGATATAGCGCCTTTGATGACGGGAGGACATCTCAAAGTGCTTCACAAGATTTTACTGTGACGCGTAGCCGTGAAGTGAATGGTACAATTTTTATCTGGGGGGAATCGCTGGCCAGAACAAGGGTAGAAATCCCCTTTCCTTTTCGAACAGCGCCCATGGAATCGTTAATGTCCACCTCATCAGACAGACGGGCCCAGGGTTTCATGCCTCCTCTGAAGGACGGCGCAGGCAATACAATACAGAATGGGTACGCAGGCAAAAACCCACGACATTCTGACTCAGAGGCGAGACGCCTACCGTCTGAGCCAGGCTGACATCTCGCATTACCTGCCTTTTGCAGAAACCTGTCTTGTTAACACCCATTACCTTTGTCGCCAGCAGCCTGGTCAGGTAGATTTCGGACACCATCTTGCTCCCGCGATCACCCTCCTTCTGGTCTCCGTGCTCGTGGTTCTTGACCAAGTGCCACACCTTGACCCCGGTCTCCAGGTCAGGGGTGATCATGGGAGTGCGGGAGCGTAGGCTGTCAGGGCTGCCTGTGTACTTGATCATCGTCTCTGCAGGTAAGCAGGGAATTAACAGGTTACTCACAGCTGGTATATACCTACAGGTAAAACCACCTGGAAATGTATTATTGGGGGCAGAGCAGTCAATCGGCTTGTGATAATAACAGCAATAGGTGCACAGGTGTGTCTCTGTATCAGAGACACAGTGAGATGATCGGTCAGACAGACACACAGCAAGACATTGAGACAGATAGACAGACACACAGCGAGACAGAAAGACAGACACACAGCAAGACAGCGAGCCAGCCAGCCAGACAGACAGACAGACAGACAGAGAAGAAAAGTCCTGCATGGCAGGAACAGGGAACAGGAAAGGGGGCCAGCATCTCACCGTATTTACTGGCGGAGGTTCGGGACACGCTGGAATTGTTGACCGCATTGTAAGCTGTTGTCTGTTTGGGCACCAAAGCCAGCACGGAGCCGTCCGTCACCTGAGGAGAATTGATTTCAGAAGCTCAGGGGGGTGGGGGGGTGGGAAAAAAAACCATTAAGCGACTCGCGCGACAAGACTTCTTAATTACACAGAAAATAATGGATGCTCGGGAGCGATTAAAGGCACCGATCTGATCCAGGGGATTCCGATGGTTTAGGTCAGGCGCTCGGTGATGGGTACGCAGGCAAAATTGTAGCGTTCGAACCTGACCTGATTGAGCGGCGGGCGAGGGCTGATTCAAGGGCATGAGGGTGTGAGTTTCAGATTGTAACGAGGAGAGTGAAAGAAATGGGGAGATGGAGAGATAAGGGAAAGGGTTTTCCTTGGATGTTAGCAGAGTATGGAACGGCTTAGCAGGGGGGAACTGTTGGGGTGAACGCGATGGGGTGGGGGGGAGACGGGTGGGGGTGGAGGGCACCGAGGTTGCTGCATTTCGCCCAGAAACATACAGTCAATTCACTCGGCAGCGTGTTCTGTGAAGCGCTTTGAGACGTCTAGAAGTCGTGAAAAGCGCTGCATCAAATGCAAGAGGTTATTTATTAATATAGAGGGGACTGGAGACATTTTAAAAGGGAATCAGAGACGTGCACAGGGGAGGAAGGGATTTAGAAGGTGCTGGGGTAGTGCGAGGAATCGGGATTAGGATTACATCGAATGAATTGCATAGAACGTTACTCCATGGAAGCAGGCCAGGCAACCCAACTCGTCTGTGCTGGATGTCCTCCTGACGTGAAAGGCGCTATACAAATCTAATTTTGTTGTTGCGGGTGTTATTACCCCGCGTGAGTCTCCACCTCCCCTAATGCCCTCTCCCACACCCCTCTACTTCCCTTCAGTACAAGTTATATTTACACTGCACCTTCCACATTGGAGAGTGGGGGGGGGGGTGTGGTACGTCTCTAAGCGAAAGACGACAGAAAGCCCGGTCAAAAAGGTACATCTTGAGACGGACCTTGAATGAGGTGAGGGAGGGAGGGGTAGGAGGGAGGGAGGGAGGGACGGTGGGAGGGAGGGAGCGGACATGCAGAAGCGGAAAGGAACTTGAAACACAAGTTATTATTATCATTATCATTATTATTATTATTATTGAAGTGGATGTGGCATGGTGGGGGAGAACCAAATAAATGATTTTCTTATCGATACAAAATGGATATGAAAGTGTGATAGAGAAATGGTGTATCACCGCAGATTGTGATAGCTGCCGGAGATACCATCACACAAGTTATCTGTTTACCTATTGTTAGTATGCGCTGTATTGCGGCGCAGATGAGACATGCAAAGGGCAGCTGTAACATCCAAATATTCTGAAGAGCTATCGCTCAATACTGCCGTTGCCTCCAAAGTCATGAAATCAATTCCCCTGAATTTATTTATTTGTTTTGCCAACACAAGGTTTGGGTTTGGGAATGTTTTACTTCTGAGTCTTTTTCTTTCTATTTTAGGTGGCAGAAAATGCAAGACTATTTGCATTTATACAACGCCTTTCACATCAGGTCTTGGTCTCTCTCTCTCTCTCTCTCTCTCTCTCTCTCCTCTCTCTTTCTTCCTCTCTTGTTCTCACTTTTATCTCTTAACCCCTTTTCTTTCTATCTCTCGATCCCTTCAGCCTCTTCATTCTTCCATTCCCTCTCTTTATCCCATTCTCTCTCATTTCCTTCTCTCTCCTCATTTTTCCTTCTCTTATTTATTTCTGTCTTTTTTTCCTTTTTTCTCTCTATTTTAGTCCTCTTTCTTTCTTTCTTTCTTTCTTTCTTTCTTTCTTTCTTTCTTTCTTTCTTTCTTTCTTTCTTTCTTTCTTTCTTTCTTTCTTTCTTTCTTTCTTTCTTTCTTTCTTTCTTTCTTTCTTTCTTTCTTTCTTTCTTTCTTTCTTTCTTTCTGTCTCTCTCTCTCTCTGTGCACCAAAATGTTAATCAAACTATTCCTTGCCCTTCCTTTTGTTTCCAGCTTCCTCTGCCCACCCAGCCGAGAAACAGGGAGAAATATACTTGGAAATATATACAAACCCACCGTTAAATCCACAACAATAAAGCCTAAACCTCACACACATACCACACCAGATTGCCCCCTACACTTGGCAGAGCGCTAACAACCTCTGATATCCAGACAGGATTTGTCAAGGATAACTTGCCCTCTCAAACGAAAGAATTAACTCCTGTCTTCATTATCTCATCTGCGATCCAATCAATTTCTAATCTGTTTTCCCTTCCCACCTCTGCGCTGGCAGACATCCCCGTGACATTCAATTTAGCACCAACGCAGCCCAGAGTCAAGTCCCTAATTCGCCGGGTGAATGGCTTATCTTCCGAATTATTTGCACGTTAATGAATAGCAGATATTTTTATCAACAGGAAGGAATCTGCAATTCCTAACGGCAGCAGAGAGGAAAGCAATTTCTTCAAGGGTGCAACTTCCGTGTGTTGCTTTGTGCGGGGCAGGGGGGGGAAGCGTTTGGTTAGAGAAAGAAAGAGGCTGATTGACAGCTGACCCGAAGAGAGGCGTCTTATCTGTCTGACCTGATAGTGTGCCAGTGTATTCAGCCTCTTCCAGTCGTTCTCTATCTTGGTCGTGACATCTTCGTCCTGAAGAATAACCCTCGCTACCGTGCCCTGTCGCCACTCTATCGGGAGGAGATTAGCGGCCGGTCGACAATCGAGCAGGTGCAAAGAGAAATAATCGGGATGAAAAGAGATAGATAGATAGATAGAGAGAGAGAGAGAGAGAGACAGAGAGAAGCGATTAAATCATGAGGCTCTTTCCTCTCGCACCGTGGATCGATACACATTCATCATCTTATAATCTCATTATCACGCGCTTTGGTGGATTGGGGGAAAGCAAATCTCAAGCTCCGCAACGATGGAGAACCAAAGCCTCTCCTGGCTGGGAAGCCGACTGCACGAAGGTTGGCGATAATAGTGATAAGAATCGCAGACCCCGCGCTTGACACAGCGGCTTTCTTTCAGGTCGAGAGCACGTCACAAAGCGCGTGCGGCAGGATTCGGGTTCTCGGAATCAGAAGCTTGTGGGTTACAAGGCCTCACATCAGCACTTTGAACTCATAAGAGTCCAGCACCTGGGAGCAATGCATTGTCAGAGGTGCGGTCCTTTGGATGAGACATTCAACCAAGTTCCCGTCTGCACGTTCACTCGGACACTAAACATCCCACGGTACAATTCAACTAAGGGAAGGGAGTTTGGCTGCCCCATTTGCCTACAAAATACACAGTCACTCCACTTTACGGTAAAATCCTCCTGACACGAAAGGTTGTACATCAAACGTAAGGATTATTATTACCAGTATTATTCACTGTGAAGTGTGGTGACTGTGGAGAGGCCGGTGAGCAGAGTATTGTTAGTCGATTGGTAGATCGCTTTTCGGAACTAATAATCCCTACAAACAAAACAACACAAAAAAATGTTTTTGGGGTGGGTGGGGTGGGGGTCACTCGATCTATTGCGGAACACTACTGTGTGCAATCGGCTGCCGCGTTTCGCCCACAAAACACACAGTCGAACCACTTTTTGATATATTTGTGAAGCGCTTTGAGACATCTCAACGACGTGGTGAGGCGCTACATCAAGTTCAAGTATTATTATTATTATTATTATCCTTGTAGAAATCTTGAAGGGATTCGCGGGTGAGGATTTGGGCTGGATTTTGGGTTGGATAAGTACGAGGAGTGAGATTCCTTACCCAAGTCCATGTCTCCTGCCTTTGGTCTGTGGGAGCAGGGCAAGTTTTTGAAGATGGCATCCAAGATCTTCTCTTTGACCTGGGTGATGGTGTCACAGTTCAGAGTCTTCACCAAGATCTCGGGGCTGTTCTCGTGATCTGGGTTCACACAGTTCAGAACCTGACAGGAAAGCAAAGAGCTTTGATACGTCCTCCGAGTTTGTGATACAAAAATTTCTCTTCCCCAAACGCCCTTCTCTCTCGACCTTCTCCGCCTTCTCCGCCTCCCCCACCTCCACTCACCTTCCCCCCCCCCCCAGAATTTACCAATTTACAGGCAGAGAATTTAACCATGAATTTCATAAATCAATTGCAATTAACTCAACAAACCCGGGTTAATCCTCTAACTGGACCCCACTGTCTTGACTTTAAAAGTGTTGAGTCTACCCATCTCGCTGCTCATTCACTTCAGTTCCACTGTACTGCACACTTTACGCCTGATATTGAATCTAACCACTTGCTTCCGCCGGTGTTAAATATAATTTGATAATGACAATAATCCTGGCGTTTGATTCAGCACCTTTTCGCGTCGGGAGGACGTCTCGAAGCGCTTCACAGGATTTAAACAAAAAAGCACATTTGTGGGCTGTTTTCATTGGGGGCAAAAATGTTCCACCTGTTCCCACAAGATTACTTTCCTCCGTCCTCGCCCCTCTCCTACCTCGCTTGTGATAACCGCTAATAAAAATATCCATTGTTTGAGCTGAATAAATCCTGGAGGCTGTGTTTTACTTTCATTACCAGCCCTGAAGGAGGAAGTGAAACTGAACAGGTCAGATACCCTTATCACTGGTGGGCAATGGAGCGGGAAATTCGGGCATAGTGTCAGTGTTATTTGTATGGTGATTTTCAGTCTGAAATGCTAGACAGCGCCTCAATTGTCTTTCTTATTAGTGCATGGAGAAAATATTCAGCCCTTTAAAAGACACCGCATCTGAAAGGCTTTTACATCTCATCTTCCGTCTCCACAACCCCAGCTGAGCCGGTTCCAGGTGAAGCCTTTGTCAGCCTCTCCCACATCTGGTCCTGGCTCAGTTGGTAGGGCTCTCGCCCCATTAGACCCGTAATGATCCACTCCTCCCCATTCCTGTGCCTCCTTTGCAGAATGAAAGAGCTAATTCGAAGGAAAGTAATCTTTTTTAACCCCTTTATTTTAAACAAAACAAGCTCTCCCCTACTCTCCAACCTTCCCTTTCAGCAAACTGCACGTGGGTCAATAATAGTGTCAGGAACTCGGGTTTGACTCCCTATCTGTCTCTGTGACGGGCATGTGATGTTGTCAACGCAACACCATGAAAGCACGTGACATGTCTGTGGCGTGACATCCGGCCCAGCTCTGCGATCGCTCACACACTAACCAAATTCTCCCCTCCGCACCATGTTGCCCCCCCACCCTGGCTTCCCAGCTTACCAGGGTCTTGTAGTCTATCTGCTGCCTGATGAGCTTGTCCTCGCTCAGTGAGTAACGGGCCTCCCCTGTGATTGAGTCGATCGGCCCTTTCTCCATCTGCTGCTTGATGGCGCAGAAAAGCATGAACAAGGGCTCGCCCGCACATTCCTGGCAAAGACGGGAAGATTAGGTAGTCGTCACACCTTGGCTTGGACTCCCCAACAAGCGGAGATAATAATAATAATAATCCTTACGTTTGATACAGCGCCTTTATTATAATACCACCATTAATAATAATCCTTGCGTTTGATATTGTCCCTCATCACGCTGTTGAGACGTTTCGAAGCTCTTCACACAATATATCGTAAAGTGGATTGTCTGTGTATTCTGTGGGCGAAACGCGGCAGCCAATTGCGTCCCGCGACGTCCCACAAACAGTCGTGGAGTGAACGACAACATTTTTTTTAGCAGGGAAGGGATTATTACCCGGCAAAGAGATCCACCAATTGTCTATCAGCTGGGTTCCTACTTACTGCTAGGTAAACAGAGGCGTGTAGAGTAAAGAAACTTGCCTAAGGTTTCGCCTCACCCAGGAATCGAACCTGGGTCCTCTCGCTTGCGAGGCGAGTGCTCTAACCACTGAGCTACAGGACTCCACTAGAAAGTAGACAGCTATTAGAGGGAGCGAGCCGAGCCCTCTCTTACCTTGAGGAACTTGTACAGGAGGAAGGTGAACCAGTTGGTTAGCATCTTCTCCGCCACCGATTCAGTCCTGACAGAGGAGAATGGGGAGGGAGGGAAGGAGGGAGGGAAGAGTAAAAGAGAACATAAATAATAATTCTTGCACTTAAAACAAACAACAACAACTTGCATTTATATAGTACCATGCACACTGTGCAGCGTCTCGGAGCGCTTAAAATAGCACCTTTCACTTCAGGAGGTTGCCTCAAAATGCTTCACAGGGTGTTACTGTGAACTGCAGTGGCTACGTGCTATGACCTCGGGTTAATGTCTCATCCGAAGGTTCGGCAACTCCAGCAATGGCAATACTTTGTAGACACATTGCAACGACAACAACAACTTGCATTTGCGTAGCACCCTTCATTCCAGACGGGGTCAAGAGATAGATTGGGGGGGGGAATCGGAGGCCAGCAAAAACAGACACAAACAATTGAGTCATGGGAACAAATTTGCAGACGTTTCTTAATCCATTCCTGCGCCGATTATCACCAGGAAATCGATTAAGGTATAATGCAAATTTTTACCTTAAGGTCCCTCAAATAAAGAGCGGCGCATGTTTAGGAATTCGGAAATTTTACCTCTTCCTTCCCCGCACCCCCCAACACTCCCCCCAAAAAATGTTTTAAAGAATAAAACTTGCTTTTGGAGTGCCAAAGCTGGCAACTAGATCAAACAGTGGTTTGAAAGCATTTTCCCCTCCTGCTTAATATATTCTTACCACTACATATACCCTATACTTCTGATGATATCAAGCACTTTACAATATAATTCTCATCTTCTTGAAGATTGACCTTTGCAATTATATCCTGTCAAAATTCTTAGCAGCCAGAGCGAGTCAGTCTGCGTTGCTTTTGACTTCCAATTAAAATATGGAGAACGGCATTTTAATACACTGACAATGAAAATCTCTTGACTTACAGTACTAATTAAATATTGTTAGTGTGAGCGGTGTTAACTGTTCATTATTTCCAACCTCAGGACACATCTAAAGGGGGCACGGAAAGCGCTTTGGAAGGGAATGGCTTTTTTTTTCCAATAGACTTCTTTCTAAATGCCTTGTTTATTTTTAATGCATCTTTCTAAATGTACGTGGGTGTCAACCTTGCTCTGTCGGTAGGACTCTCGCCTCTTCAGGAGGTTATGGGTTCAAGCCCTCACGTCGGAACATTGAGCTCACAGTCCATTGAGCTGACACACCAATACAGTACTGGGGGAACGCTGCAATGTTGGAGACGCTGTACTTCGGATGAGATGTTAAACCAAGATCCCATCTGCCTGTTCAAGTGGACATTAAGGATCCCATGGTACTATTCGTGTCCTGGCCAACAATCCCCCAAATAAAATCACTCTGTGGCTGTTTGCAAGTCCTTGATGTGCACAAATTGGATGCTCCATTTGCATCCAAAGTACACAGTCACTACACTTACACTGATTCCTGTGAAGCCCTTTGAGAAATTTAAAGATGACAGGTGCTTTATCAAACACAAGGATTATTACTAGGAGGAGGAAATGGAACACTTTGAGTTGCTCTGAGACTATTTTCTGCCACATTTATTATAGGGTCTATAACAATAACAAGCGCTTCTCAGGTGATTGCTGTCAATAATAATTATAATAATCCTTGCATTTGATACAGCGCCTTATCATGTCGTTCAGACGTCGCAAAGCACTTCACAGAATATATTGTAAAGTGTATTTTATGGGCTGAATGCGGTAGCCAATAGGGAACAGCAGCGTACCACAAATAGCGGTGGATTGAGTGACGACATTATCATTTTGAAGGAATTGTTACCCCCTAATAATCAAGTGTAGTGACTGTATTTTTCGGCAAATGCAGCAGCCAATTTGATCATTTCAAGATCTCACAAGAAGCGAACGACTCAGTTAGCTGAAGGATTGTTAGCCAGGAGATACTGGGAAAGAAACTCCTTTCTTATTTGAAATCGTGCTGTGGGGATCTTCAGCAGGCAGAGAGAACCTTGGTTTAACGTTTCATCCGAGGTTACGGCACATCTGAAAATGTAGCACGGTTTGACCAAGAGGAGCGAGCAGTACTGACATGGGTCGATAACCTTCCAACCAGAGGTGAGAAAACTATTGACATTCGGGTTGAACTCATGACGTTCTGACAGAGAGGGAAGAGCACCAATAACATGGGGCTTGAACCCATAACCTTCTGACCAGAGGTGAGAGCAAGACCGAACCTAAAGGCTAAACACAAGAGGACATTCAGGCCTGACTCCCAATGCAAAATGAACGAGATCAAAAAGGCAAGGCATCAAAAGACGAACCCCTTAACAGCTGCACGTCAACCCCATTCACGCTCTCAATCAGCAAAATGCACTGAGACTTGAGACAGCCTGCAGGTTCCTGACTGCACACCACATAAACCATAAAGCAGTGTGAGTGTGTGTGAGTGAATCACCTGCCAAACTGCAAGGCAATTGCACTGGAGATACGTTGCCGTATAAATGATAAACCGTGTCCACTGCAGTTGTTAAATTGAATGAACGGTGGCTCCCTCCAGCACAGTGGGCCCTGCCAGCAGAAACCAGCTCCTTATGTGTGTGGTTCTGGTTTAGTTTGTTCCACCCTCTGCACATTGCTGACCATCCAAACCTCATCCCTCTCCTACACCAGGCAACTTGAGCCCATCACCTCCGTCCTCACCATGTTTCGCAGGCTCCCAAGTTATGGTTTGACAAGCTGTCCACGTGCTCTCTCTCTCTCTCTCTCTCTATATATATATATTTTCTTTGTGTTTGATATAGGGCCTTATCACATCATTGAGACGTCTCAAAGCGCTTCACAGAACATACAGCAAAGTGGATTATTATTATTATCATTATTATCGATATTATATTTCGTGGGCGAAAAGCGGCAGCCCAATTGCGCCCAGCGGCGTCCCACAAGCGGCCGTGGATTGAGCGACCGAATTATTACTCTAAAAAAAATAATTCTGGGAGGGGGATTATTCCCCAGAGAGCGATTCCGCTCTGGGAATATGTTACACTGGGAGTACGTGAACGAGGCATCATTGCATCTCGCACTGACGGAGCTGGCTCTCGAGGAGTTAAACCCGAGCCCCCGGCCGACACTACTGAAGGGCGGGCGGGCGAACCCATCAGGGACTTGCGGCCACAGCATGAAGTTGATGTTCAGCGGTAACATCAGACATTCTGGCCCATTGCCACCCAGCAGGGGAGCTTCAACTGAATGGAACATCCACGCCTAACCTCAAACACAACCTCCTGCTTCTCACTGATTGATCACTTAAATGACACGCTCTGCATCCCCGAAGGACTAACGTGCTTCAAACCTCCCCCACCACTCCCTCCACTCACACACGCGCACACACACACACAACCATCTTCCGCCCTTATCTGTGCCAGGCAGTCACGCCGTAACATATTTTTGATTACTCCGAATGAAAGGGCCATTAAGAAACTTTCTCGTGCTGTCATCTGGGAGACGGCGCTCTCCGTTACCGGCTCTGGCGCCGACACTCAACGCAAACGCTCGGCCTTCGAAAGTCGAGAAGCGAACGGCCATTTTGCTGTGTCGATGGCGTGAGGGGGAAAACGCCCCTCTCGGTGTTCAGGGTTCAGGGTTAGGAAACATTTAGTGAGAACCTCCCCCACACCCCCCACACGTAACGTGTAAAATTAGGACTCCTCTCCCCGCAAAAAATCCAGCACCGTGTCTCCAGCGTGAGGCATCGGTGCGGGCGGACAACGCGAGCTCACCTGCGCAGGAGAAGCTTGGGGTGGTTCTTGCTCTCCAGGTTCTTGTCGATGAGGTCCGACAGCAGCTGCTTCAAGACGTCGGTGGCGTACTCCAGCTTGGTCTGCAGCACGGTCATGATCAACGAGGCCACGTTCCCCCTGTCCCTCATGGAGAAGCTGCGCTGGGACTCCAGCGTCCGAATGAAGGTCAGCAGGAAGACCTTGTTGTTGATCAGTTGGCCGAAGAGCGCCAGCCCCTTCTCCGCTCTCTCCTGCCTGTATCCGGGGACCTGCGGTGCAACGAGACCAAACCATTTGTGTTGTTTTGGGCGCGGGTCCCGTGTTGACCAATCTCACGGCCCAGAGAGACCCAGCCTTTCGCTTCTACAGCTCCTCGCTCCGCACAGCTTCGCACCACCCACATTTGCGCAGCTCCTTCACATACTTTCCGGGCGTCTTGTGACCGTCCCGACTTGCGTGGGGGCTCGAACCTCCCCCACCAAACCTTTTGACTCAGGGTGCGAGAGGGCTACCACTGCGTCAGGCTGACATTCCCGGGTCAAGGGGCGCAAGGAGCCCATTTCGAAAGCGCTCGTTACGACGTACGTTTCACGAAAGGAACGCGTTCGAATTAGGAAAAGAAAACAACGCAGGCACCAAGTGCTGTGAAGGTACACAAAGTAACGGCGGTGATTCCCAATTCTATTCACAACGCGGCAAAGCCGAACATGCCCCTTTAAGTCACGGGGGAGAAAGCTGGGGAGTGGATAATGTATGCCGTCACTATTTAGTACCATTTTTATCGACTTGCTGCCTTGGCGTAGTGGGAATTCAGCGAGAGGAAAGTTGAGATATACTAACGAAAGCCACATAATACCTTCTTATGAGCTTCCTTCAAATGCCCAGGGCAACCGCACGGTTGGATTCCCTTTCGAGAGGCCCCATGTCACGCATGCCTGTGTGCGCACCCCGACTGTTAAGCTTTTCATAAAAACTGAACCAGCTCGCAAATAGTTTCAAGGAGCGCTGGCCAGCGGCAGCGACAGCGACGAGCTGAGGAAAGCCCCGAGGCGAAACAAATGGGATCGCTCGGACTTTATTTCCAATCACGTTCGACCGCAGTTAACTAGGAAAGCAATTCGAACCGACGATGCCTTCTGTCCTGCTTCTCTCCTGCGAGTGCAAAAGTGTCCCACAAACAGTCGTGGATTGACTGACCACTTCTGTTTGGTTTTTTTAAAGGGATTATTACCGCTGCAAAGTGACTTTGCAACTGGGTTCCTACTTACTGCTAGGTAAACAGAGGCGTGTGGGAGTAACAACACTTGCCTAAGATTTCGCCCCGCCTTGGAATCGAACCCGGGTCCTCTGGCTAGCAAGGCAAACACGCTAACCACTTCGCTACGGGATTCCATAATTTACAATATTTGTGAATACCGTGTGTTTGCAGGCACCATTAATTTGATGGTTATTTGCAACGAGTCACATTAACGTGTTAAAACTGAGGCTTCACACACACACACACACACACACACCTCCCATTACTGCCCCAACGTAGCGCAGTGATCCATGGTTGAGGGCAACACATACAGGGAAGACAAGGGTCCCATTGTCTCATTGCCAATGAACCCTATGATACCGTTCAGGGAAGCGGGTGTCGACAGATGGCGTGTAATTAACACACGTACTTAACACATGCAATTAACACATGTAAATTAATTACAGATATTTATTCCGAGGATGGAAATTTGTAGAGTCCAATAAAAGAAGCGTCATCCTGCCCCGCAGCACGTGAAACTGCAGGACACGAAATGGAAATGCTGCTAACGTTCAAATAAGGACTAAAGATTCTCCACTCGTTCCCACTGATGACACTCGCTTAGGCCACGTTACTAATAATAATAATTCTTGTATTTGATGTAGCGCCTTATCACATCGTCGAGATGTCTCAAAGCGCATCACAGGATACTCTGTAAAGTGAATCAACTGTATATTTTGTGGGCGAAACGCGACTGCCATTGCGCACAGCGGCGTCCCACATGCAATCAATCCGCTGATATAATTTCCTTGAGTGGTTCATGGGCAATTGCAATTGATATCTCTACCTGATTTCTGTGCTCACGCAATCCCACCCCACCAACCCCCCATCACCCACCTTCTCTGAATGTGCAAAGCTTTTTGAACCTCACTTGATCTGGTGAAAGATCATGGACCTGAAGCATTAACCCACTTTACTCTCTTCTTAGATGCTGTCTGACCTGCTGAGTGTCCCCAGCAACTTCTGTTTTTTATTTCAAAATACAGTCACTCCACTTTATAGGATATCCCGTGAAGCTCTTTGAGACATCTCAACGACCCGATAAGGCGCTATATCGAATGCAAGCGGTGTTATTACTGTCATCCTTTCCTCTTCAAGCAACATGTCCCTTCCAATGCACCACTTGTTTCCTTTGCTGCCCATCCTGACTTGTTCTTCTCGGTGTTATTCTCCCAGCGTCGCTCTGACAATATAATTTGGTTCCAACGTTCGCTTGCCAAGCGCGTCATCTTGGAGCCGGTTCAGCCTCCGCTCCGCATGATAAAAGTTCTCTTTGAAGCACTTTGAGGTTTTGGACATCATATTAGCGCTACATCAGAACACAAGGATTGCTCTACGTGTCATTATTTTGGCGTCGTTCACCAGGGAAAGGTCAGCTTCACACTGCTGTCGGCACTTGGGAGTGGGGAGACTCGAAAACCAAGAGGAAAGCTGCGTTATGCCACAGTGAGAACCCTTCTAATAAGAGGATTAGGCATTAGTCTGTCTCAGTGGATGCCCTGGATAATTCCACATATTAATCCAGAGGAGACAATTGGCACTGGGAATCAGTGGAAGCCCTCAGTGCAGTGCCAGGCCTGACCAAACAAGGCTATCATTCCCGCACACAGACTTGGAGAAGAAGCAAATATTTGGATTTGCAGCTATTCTGTGTTCTGCGACGGAGGATCAGTGAGCAGTACAAGGGGACGAGTGGGAGCATTGCGACACCAATGTTTACAGTACATGTTGTGCATATACACAAACTGTACAGTTAATTCACTTGACAGTGTATTCTGTGAAACGCTTTGAGATGCCTCAGTGATGTGATAAGCCGCCATATCAAATGCAAGGATTATTATTGTTATCTATACCATATATGAAGCAACCCTTTACAGGTATCCTCTCTATGGGTAATTACCTAGTCATTATTTTTGGGGCAGCAATCTACGAGAACTGGAACCCACCCTGCAAAGACATAGCACCTGAGGAGGCCTGAAATTCCACCTACTCTTAGCATCTAGGGCTGAAAAAAATGACGACGACAACAAGAAACTACATGTTGTGTATCTCCTTTCCTCTTGGGAAGACGTCCCGTCCCTCCACACTGACGGTCACCTCCCCATCCTCATTCTCCCTCTGCCTCATGTGAAACGGTCTGAGACACTATCATATACGAAGGGCGCTGTGTAAATGCAACTTGTTCGTGTCATGTTACAATGCCTCAAGGCGTTAAATATCCTTCTGTTGTTTTGTTAAACATCAGGGATGGGATTGCAGTGCCAGCTGCCACCAGCCGAAAATAAAACCCAAACCCCGAAGAAGCGTCCGCACAAACAAATTAACAGCAAATTAACAGCAAATTTAATACGTTACTTAAAAGAGGGAAGTTGCATTAAAATCTCGTTGCAACAAAATCTCAAATTAAAATCCTGCTGTTTTTCAAGCTCGCTCCTGGTCCCATCTGCCATTGCCTTCAAACTAAAATCAATTCAAATGTGCCTTCAGACACGCTCAGAACCAGGACTGAACAGTCAGACAGGCAGACAGTCATATCAAAACATAGTCAGACACAAAGAGAGTCCCACGGAGAGACAGTGACTGCTTTCTGCCTGGCCTGCATGATTAGAAGGTTACGTTGAAAGTTCCTGGTCAACAATCCTCCTCAAATTAGTCGTTCACCTCGTGGCCATTTATGGCACTCTGCCGCACACAAACTAATAATCCTTGCATTGGATATAGCGCTTTTCACGTCGGGAGGACGTCCCAAAGCGCTTCACAGAACACACTGTAAAGTGAATTGACTGTATATTTGTGGGCGAACGCGGCAGCCAATTGCGCACAGCAATGCCCCACAAACAGTCGTAGATTGAAAATGATCAATTTATTATTGTTTTTGGTTTTGGAGGGATTATTATTAGGCTCTGTGTGGAGTAAGGAAACTTGCCCAAGGTTTCGCCCTCTGCCTGGAATTGAACTCAGGTCTCTCACTTGCAAAGCGAGTGCTCTAACCACTGAGCTACAGGACTCCAAATACTTCCTAAGTCCGTTGAGATGTTCTGACACGACTGATATCAAACGCGAGGAGTATTATAAGTGCAGAATAGCCTCTGCTCGTAAACCACTCGAGCTCGTCTTACACTTACAGTCTCTTTACAATAAGAATGATTAATATTACATTTGATGCAGCATCTTATCTCGTCAAAAGCTCCCACGGTCCTCCACTGTAATTACTGTTAAGTGTAGTCGTTTGGAGGCGAATGTGGCAGCCAATTCAGCCAGTCGAGCAGAAGCAATGGGTCGTTGGTGTGGGGAGTAACTGGGTTGGTGAGGTATTGTATCGATGAAATAATAATTGGATGCATCAACAACAACAACTTACATTTATATACATGCCCTTCACGGAGTAAGGACAGGTTAATAATCCTTGCATTCGATATAGCGCTTGACAGGTCTGATAACATCTCAAAGTGCTGTACCGAATATGCTGTAAAGTAAATTGACCGCGAGCGCGATCTCGACCCCTTGCCCATTCCCCGCCACTGGCCACAGCCCTCGCTCACCTCCAGCTCCCTGAGCACGGGATGGTCTTCGATCCCGGGAAAGAGGACCCGCATGGTGTACGTCCTGTACTCTAAGAAGGGGATTCCCGTGGCGTCCAAATCGCTGGTCAACTCATTAATGTCCGTCTGAAGCTCCGCGAAGGCTGTGAAGAGAAGCGTGGCACGGTTATAATGGGCCCAGCAGGAGCCTCTGTGACCCTATTCATTACAAAGCCGTCATCGTAATGAAGTAATCAGTTCCATAACACAACACTCGGACGCACTGATAGGATAATGATCTCTTGTCTTCTGTAAAAGCAAACAGTAATAATTGTTTTATCTCCTCCCTTAGGATCTTTCAGCAGGAAGTCCGCACGTTCATTCAGCACAGATGAACGCAAGGTACAGGACTACTCATCAGAGACAATGAACTAGACACACACGCGTGCACTCCTCTGGAGGGGAGGTGATTTGCCAAAGGTGGGAAGAGCTGAGAGAGAGTTAGAGGACCCATCATCGATCACAATGTCAAAACAATCTGGAGTAGCAATAAACAAGGTAAACAGGATTCTGGGCTATATTGCTCAGATGAATAATAATAATAATAATCCTTGTATTTGATATAGCTCCTTATCATGTCGTTCAGACGGCTCAACGTGCTTCACGGAGTATATTGTAAAGCGAATTGACTGGCTGCCGAGGTTTGCCCACAAAATACAGTCAATCCACTCTTGAGACGTCTCAACGACGTGATAAGTCGCTGAATTAAATGCAAGCATGTATTATCACCATGATATATTGTATATACCCTGGACAGTATTTGAGCGTCACTGACCACAAAGCAGACTCGTGCTCGGTGTTGATACTCACAACCCAGTGAAGGCAGGAATTAAACACAATAGAGTACAACAACGACAACATCTTGCGCTTATATAGCGCCCTTCACACGGCGGGGGGGGGGAGTAGTGTCCTGGAACGCGTCAATAAGAGGCGTCAATAAAACCAGCCGTCAGATACCTCCTATAAGCCTACACCGTGAGCCAGGCAATGTCGTGCATGTACACTTATTGAACATCAGCCACACCAGCCTCTTTCGTCAGATACGATAATGTTGTTACGCGTTGACAGGCCATTAGAGAAAGCAATGAAGCGTCCTGATCTACCTTCTTTGCATTCCAAGGCTACCCGGGACTCCAGGTTATCCATCTGCATCTGCAGTCTCTTCAGTGTTAAATCGCTTTCCCGAGACTTCCTCTTGTAGGCGATCAGCACCACGATGATGAAGATGATGAGGAGACCACCAGCGGCTCCGATGCTGATGATAGCCGGGAAGCTCAGCGGGCTGTCGGGAAAGATGTGCACGATGCCAGGGGAATACTCCATGCCGCCCACACGTGCCTGGGTAGACGGGAAAGGGAGTAAGGGTGAGAGATCAGTGTCTGTAAGGACAGGGTGGCAATAACCCATCTCCGTGGAAATGACTCGGGTTAGACTTGCACAGGTCGCAGGTGTGAGCTGACATCACGCACAGGCTGACAGCCAGACTGAGAGGGAGAAACTGCAGGCGCACAGACGAGACAGACTGACCGGTCGGTGGGTACGCAGACAGACACAGACAGCGGCTGGCAGACAGAATGGCCGACACAGAGGTAGAATAGCCAACGGACGGTCAGAATGGGCGACAGACACACACAGGCAGGAGGATGGGCCAACAGACAGACTGGACACTAGAAAAACAGATTCGCTAACAGGCAGCCAGACAGACCGCCCTACGAGACAGTCACAAACTCACATACAAACACAGAAAACCTGACCACCTGACAGACTGATTGGACAGTCAGACAGTAAGGCAGGAAGACAGAGGATCAAACAGACTGAGAGACAGTCAAACAGAAAGACAGTCAGTCAGACAGACAGACAGGCAAACAGGAAGGCAGACAGAGACATACACACACTGCAGATACAGTGACAGACAAGCAGACAAGAGATAACAAAGCCACCAGATACTTGATTGCAGATTTGCAGCCTAAGGCTAAATAACATGAATTATTTACAGAAAGATTAAAAGCAACATTTAGCAATAAGTTAATATTCCAAGTACATTCTGACGGCGATGTCTATTCCACGGTGAGAACATCGGAACGGTGGAATATATTACAGTCTCTGCTTTCCTTTGTTTTATTCTTCAAAGCTTCAATAAAATGAAGCCGGTCTGAAAGACAGTCGAGCGCCAATTCCCAGGAAAGAAGAAAGAAAAAAAAACGGGAGGTATATTTTCTACATTAAGTGCTCTCCAGAGGATAAAAATCCCTCAAGATCTCAGCCTTAAGAGGCTGAAATTCTAAATTTAAGATTATGCAGAACTTTTTTTTTAAAAAAAATCATTCGCAATTTGGGAAAAGGATTTCTGCAGCTCTTGAAAAGGGTCGCAAATTAAGAGTGAAACTTGAAACACTGTCCAAAATTCTGACTGATCTTGGATATTAAAGGGGTTCCCCAAGCCTTGGCTCGTGCCAACCCGCGCTTAATACTCTCCGGAATTAGGTAACCAGGATACGTCGCTCCAGGGAGAGAGAAAGAGAGAGAGAGAGAGAGAGCGCATTCCATTCCAACAATCTATCTCTGGGATTTCCATGTGTGGATGGGATGCAGGAAAATCTCAGCTCGGTTGGGATACTCTTAACACAACGGTGATGGGTTTCCATATGTGTCAGACACCATCTGACCAAAAAAACTTATCTTAAAAGGCATCTGTCTTAAGGCTGAGACTAGTGGGAACTTTCAAGCCTCCAACAAAGCTGCCATGACCCTACGCTGGGAAAGAGAAGGGAGTTTCTCCTGGTGTCCTGGCCAACAATCCTCCAGATTAAATCAACCATTCACCGGTGGTGGCTGTTTCTGTTAGCTGGCTGTGCGCAAAATTGGAATGGAATACATACTTTCTCCCTGGAGGGACACATGCTGCTCGCCTAATTCCAGAGAGTATTAGGCGCAACTTGGTAAGAGCCAAGACTCAATGGGATTAACAGGTTGTTAAAACTGGTGTCAGTAATAAACACTGCAATGGAAGTGATGCCACACATTGTAACAGAACATTTACATCTTGCTGCCCAGGGCACCGATGGAGACAATATGGGGACACTGACCAGCCTACCAGGTTCCCCCACCCCGAATCCCCACCACTCACCAGCACTTTGTGCCGCCCGGTCAGATTTGGAGACTCGCAGAGTAGCTGAGTGTCGGACACTGTCACTGTACAGGGCTTCTCTCCGATCAGCACCGTGTAATTCAGCTTCACGTTACCGGCTGTGGCGGGAGGGATGAGGTTCCGGCCCTAAGATTTGATAGAGAAACAAAGCAAAAATAAGGCATAAAGCAGATAATCCTCTAATGTCGTGCCTTTGAGACTTGATGGTTCTGCAACCTATTGACGCAACTCCCCCTCCACACCCTTGCCCATCGCACCAGTGCTCCAGCCCACCCCCCTGCCCCTGCTTGACGCTGTGATGGTGGGATGGGAAGCTGGGTGTTCTCACTGGAAGGATGAGATCCAATGGGCCAAAGAAAGGGACTGCTTCATCCAAATGCATCTTGCGCTGCTGTGATCTGCTACCAACAAAGATCATAACAGCAGCAACAACAACTTGCATTTATATCGGGCCCCTCGCGCAGGGTAGAGTTCCAGAGCGCTTGTAGATTCCTGCTTCCTGGTTGAGACACCAGGTCAGAAATTAATGGGTCGTAGAGCTACAGCGACCTAAAGGCCTCTCACCTTCAACATAATGGGAGAGCCAGGCTTCAGTTCCAGGACCCCTGAGATGCTGAGAGGCTCAAAGACCGGGTTGGGGTAGTAGATGAACTTGGTGTTGTTGTAGATCAGCAACGCCTGAACGTTGTCCAAAATGAACCCAAACTCGTCGGGATGCTCCACGTTGTCTGTCTGTAGGTTCTGACTGATAGCCAGAGCAGGGGCCTGGCAGGTCATGGAGGTCAGGTTGTGCACTGTGCATGTCTGGTTAAAAAAGCACACACACACACACACACAACGGTAAAGAAATGTTATTCTTTGTCTGTCGCACTGCATTGCATTGCGGATCGCATTTTCCAGCAATACAGAGGAACTCCAGCAGTGACCACATTGAGTCATCCAGTTTATATTGGAGCAGAGTCCTGTAGTGTACTGGTTAGAGCACTCGCCTGGCAAGCGAGAGGACCCGGGTTCAATTCCCAGGCGGGGAGAAACCTTAGGCAAGACTCCACACACCTCTGTTTAACTAGCGGTAAGTAGGAACCCGGTTGTCAGTCGATTGGTGGATCACTTTACAGGGATAATAATCCCTTAAAAAAATAATAATAATTTGATTCACTCAAACCGTGACTGTTTGTGGGACACTGCTGGTTGCAATTGGCTGCTGTGTTTCATCCACAAAATATGCAGTCATTTCACTTTACAGTATATTCTGTGAAGCGCTTTGAGACGTCTCAATGACATGATAAGGCGCTGTATCAAATGCAAGGATTATTATTACATTTAATAGTATATGTGATATAGGCCTTTCTCTCTTGTGTGCGCATTATGGTTACCCTTAAACACATTGATGTCATTTGGCTTCAACCACAGCTACTGGCAGTGAGTTCCACATTCTCACTACCCTCTGTGTGTGAAGAAGTTCTTCCTAAACTCTCCACTGGATCTACCACTGATTAACTTAAATGTAACTTACATTTAAGTTATTCTCGCTTACTCTTCAATTCCTGAACGCTGTCTTCCATAAAACATCAGGATGTGCGAAAGCTATGTACGGAAGGATTTATTTTTTGCTTGTTATTTAGAACTGCACCTGCGTTTGATCTTCTTTCTGTGGGTCATTAAAACAGCGATGTCTTTCAGTGCGTATAGTGGAAACGTGAGGGGAGTGTAAAGATTCACTACCAATCTCTGATCCCTAATCCCATATCCCGCACCTTCCCACAGAATGAACCTTTACTGAGATTTGATCTGGATGTGACATTCTGCACTGCTTGACTTGTGAAAGCTACCAACTGCATACAGCATGGTAAAAAGTCGAGAGGCACACCTATAAATAATGCAGAATAGAAAATGAATAAAACAGGCAGAGATAACCGTAATCTCCAGGTAACCTTGTTGAATTTTATGGAGCTGTTTTTATTCTCCCCCAGTTTCCATTCTGTCTCTCTGGGGATTAGCGACTTGCGATGAATAATGGCTCCACAGGTACTGACAACAGCCCAGTGTCGCACACAAGTTGCCGCCAGAGAGAAAATACTCTTCACTTGTTATTTGGGTGGTGGCAGCCTGGCTCAGCTCAGGTGGTAGCTCGCTCGCCTCCGAGTCAGAAGCTTGTTGGTTCAAGCCCCGCAAAAATACACGGTCAGTTCACTTTACAATATATCCTGTGAAGCACTTGAAGACGTCTCAACAAAGCCATAAGGTGCTGTATAAAATGCAAGGATTATTATTATTATTGCATAGTCTAGATTGACCCTCCAATGCTGAGGGTGCAATGCAGGTTGAAGAGGGAGAGACAATAAACCAAGGTCAAACTTCGAATATATTGTCCAGCACACTTCCCCTGCACCCGGGTGGAGTTGAAATCAGACCTCAATCTCCTATTTGAACACGTTCTTCCCCAGGATTCAAAACTGAGGGACCAACTCCCTTCCTCATCCTCCAACAATACTATCAATATTAATGCTCTATCAATACCCATGCAGCCACCTTCCCCTTCTGTACGTTAATGAGTATTTTGCGTATTGTATAAATGTATTTTTGTCGTCGTCGTTATAACGTTGAATCTGTTATAAAATAAAATTGTTCGCGCAGTTCGTGGCTGCTTGTGGGATGCTGCCATGCTCACAAAATACACCCTACAGCATATCCTGTGAAGCGCTATGAGATCTCTCAACGATGTGATAAAGCGCTATATCAAATGCAAATTCAAAGATTATATTCCAACTTCAAAACCTAAGATTGGTATCATCTCTCTCGCCTTCCCTGCTGCACGTTCCCATCTTGGTGTTGACCTCTGCCTCTTGAAGCTTCGGTGTAGTTTTCTCATTGAAAAAAGAAGTCAATTGGGTCATTGGTGCTTTGCCTCTACATAGAGTTCAGTAGAAGTGATCAGCGTCTAATGAATGGTCTCCACCGAACATTGATAATGATTGAACAACAGTGAAATGCAACACAAAACAAATGAACAAGGAATTGCATGGAGATAGTGTAATGGCTGTGATATTACCTCCTATAACATCGCAACTTCATGTCTAATGGTGCAAATTACACTCAAGACAAAGATTCGCCTGCACAGCCACGATTAGAAAGGGATTATCTGAATGGGTTAGTGTGTAACACATCACGGTATATAAAATATTCAGAGAATATGAAAACATAATCATGTCAAGACACCTTATAGTGGATTAGTAATGTATTCTGACCGATCCATAACCGTCTGGGACAGACTCTGCACAGATACTAGATGTCAGGACTGATATTAAACTGCATCCATCAGTACAAACATGAAGCTAATGAAATCCATTTAGCGCAATAAGCAAGCCACGCGCTGCAAGCTTTCTGATGTTAAGGAGATCTGATCGCTTTCTGTAGCCGAACACGGCAAGTCCTCACGGTTCCTGCTTTAAGACTATTAGGAACGTAAGGAAGGTCTGTGTGGGCGCGGGGGAAGCATAGGGGGGAATGGGATTAAAGCGAACAGTTCCATTGGGAGCTGAATCCGTCACAAGCACGGTGGGCCGAATGGCCTCCTCCAGAGCTGCAAACGTTCTATGGAACTTTCCACTCTGGTGTCCCCCGAGTCTTGGCTCTTGCCAACCTGGGCCTAATACTTTCCGGAATTAGGTGAGCAGGAATGCGTCCCTCCAGGGAAAGAGAGAGAGCGCATTCCTTTCCAACAATCTATCTCTGGAATTTCCACCTGCAGGTGAGATGGGTGGAATTGTCAGCTTGTTTTGGAGACTCCTAAGCAACGGTGATGGGTTTCAGACCAAAGGAAAAATTTATAAGTGAGCACGGAATGAGAAGCAGTTGTTTAGCCTCCATTCCCATTCCCCCCTCTCCCCCCCCCATCCCACTCACTCCCCCCGCTGTTTGGGAAAGCAAGTCCATCATCAGTCTTCTCTTGCGGGAAAACACTGTTTCCTGACCCTCGAGATCAGTCAAGTGACATTCCAGAACATCTTCTCAACCTTTCGTCTCCACCATTCGAGACATTTCCATTCCCGTTGCTTGACCCAAGATTTTTTTTTGTGCAACGGAAGGGAATAAATGGCCAGTGCTGGTCAGAGCAAAGATGAACTATAAAGAGATATCAAAAGGAAGAGAAGTTGTAGAAATGAAAAGTCTTTGAGAACGTTTGCTGATCAGACAGGAATGTTTTGGGACGTTGGGTGGGTTGGTGAGATGAACCAATGGTCTATACCTGCACACATTTACCTGGATCTGTGCTGCACGGAAACAGGCCATTCAGCCCAACTACAGTTAACTCCTGATAACACGTTGTTCCAAGGGGAAAGGGATCAATGATGAGTTATCCTTAGGGGCGGGTGAGGCATATGTATAAATTCATGAATAAATGCGTCTGGGATAGTGACAGCGTGATGACTTAAGTGGTAGTGATCCATTCCGCTGTTTACACTCCATCCTCTCCTTATTCCCTCCCAAACCCTTCTATTCCCTTCTCCCTCATATGTGTATCTAGCGTCCTCTTAAATGCATCTACACTCTCTGCTTCAACCACTGCTTCAGGCAAAAACTGTTACTGAGAGTCTCAACTCTCTGCTGCACCTCCAAGTACCTGTTCAACATAACTACTCGGGACAGCCAGCTGCTCACACGGCTAACGGTTAATGCAAGCAAATAATACTACTAATAATAATCCTTGCATTTGACGTAACGCTTTATCACGTCTTTGAGATGTCTCAAAGCGCTTCACAGAATACACTGTAAAGTGAATTGACTGTGTATTTTGTGGGCGAAACGCGGCAGCCGATTGCGCACAGCAGCGTCCCCACAAACAATCATGGATTGAGTGACCAATTTATTATTATTATTATTTTAAAGGATTAGCGGAAAGCGTCAATGAACATAAAAAGGTGGTTTGCGGGTTGGGGCGCGGGTGGAGGGGATGGGAAAGTAAAAACCGGGGAAGCATAAAATAATCTATCCATTTGATGTAGTGCCTTTCACATCGGGAGAATATCTCAAAGTTCTTCCACATAAAGTGTGTTGACTGTGTATTTTGCAGGAAGGCAAAGCGCAGTAATTACTGAACACAGTGTACTGTACGTACGTTAATGGTTTCCACTCCGCTGTGCTTGGCTCGGATTTTGGGGTGCTGGATGATGTCCAGGTTGGTCCCCCACACCGTCACGGGCGTGCTGCCACTGGGAAAAGAGAAGAAAAGCGTTTTGCAAATCTCGCTCCAACACAAAATACATTGTCCGAGAAAAGTCAGCAGGTTGTTTTGTCTGACTGTCTAGCTGTCTGGCTGCCCAGATTCAGCTCGCGATCAGGTCCTTTCCTGCAAGAACACTCCAAGGTCCAAAGAGAGACGGGGAAATGGAATGGACAGGCAGCCTGAGGAAGGGGGGCTGTCACTGACTCCGAGTCCCTCTCATTCACCCCCTGAAACCTGGCCTCAAAAGCCTAGTGCAAGGTGATGTCCCTGTATCCTCTCGAGCCGGCCGCCAGGGGGAGACCGGGAAGAGTAGAGAGGAGGAGAAGAACTATGCCACGATGGTGCATTCTCCGATTTAAAACCACTTTGGTGCTGGAAATTGACGTTTCGATTTCAACCCTATAAAGTGGGTTTCCTCCTTTCATTCTGATATTGACCATCTGTCTCTGGGATGGTAGTTTCGAGCTGGGTGGAAAATAACAAGAAGAATAACAACAAACTTGCACTTATATAGCGCCCCTCACGCAGGGTTAGCTTCCCAGAGCAATTCCTTCCCCAATTGGGAGCTTCAAAGGTTGGCTCAACAGATAAGGGTTCAAAGAGGTAAGTTTTAAGTTGGGCTTTGGGGACAGACAGAGGAAGGTGGAGCAAGACGGAGGGAGAGAGACAGGGATTTCCTGAGGATGAGGGCTACTGACTTAAGACGCGGGCACTGATGGCAGAGCAAAATAACACAACACCATCAGTCTGGCGGTGGATTGGGTTGTTGCTGTGCCAGTGCCTGCGCAGATAATAATAATAAACATAATAATAATAATAATAATAATCCTTGTGTTTGATACCAAGACGTGGATTGAGTGACCAGATTGGTACGATTACCTGACGATGCTCCACTCTGGCTCGACCCTGAGGATGGTCGGATCCTCCACGTATTCGAACCGCAGCTGTTTCCTGATGCGGGCGTTGTCCACCCCCACGGACACACTGACGTTCCCCGGGCCCTGCGGTGAGGTGGTGGAGCTGCAAACGATCTCCCCTCCAAATCTCCTGTCACAGGGGGGCACAAAGAGTTCCACTTCAACGTTTTTTTTGGGGGGGGGTGGGGGTACTGGGGAGGGGGGGGGTCAGCCGGGTGGGTGTCCGACACCTGCGGAAACCCATCACCGTTGCTTAAGAATATCCGAACCAAGCCAGAGGTCAGGTTTTCTGGCTCTTTGCCCCCACTCTGTGTAATGCCGTCTCAGAGTCCCTGTAATTTTCCCCTCCCTCACCTCTTCGAAGGTCCATCTCAAGACCTTGCTCTTTGACCGCACCCCCACCCCTCCCCCACCACCCCCTTCGGCTGCCACTCGCTGCTCGGGTGCCCATCAAGCCCATGAGATGTCCTCCCGACGTGAAAGGTAATGCGTAAATGTAAATTGTATTGTACTGTGAGCGTTACCCTAGTAATTCCAAAGGCAATTGCCTCAACTAATATGAATTATAGATCACAAATAGATCAAATAGGGAAGTTAGAAGAAATTTCTTTACACAGAGAGCAGTGGGAATGTGGAACAAGGAGTTGTTGAGGAAAATCACGTAGATGTATTTAAGGGGAAGTTGGAGAGGTACGTGAGGGAGAAAGGAATAGAAGATTATGCTTGAAGGTTTAGTTGAGGAAGGGCAGGAGGAGACTCATATGGAGCATAAACACCGGCATAGACCAGTTGGGCCGAATGGCCTGTTTCTGTGCTGTATATTCTAACGTATTCTAATGTATTTGATATAGCGCCGTATCATGTCGTTGAGACGTCTCAAAACGCTTGATAGGATACACTGCAAAGTGAATCGACTTTGTATTTTGTGGGGAGAGATACGTCAAGTATCTGACACCCCTTTGCATGGGATTGAAGAGCAATTCACCACACGGTTGGACCTTTTTAAGGCGCACTGACCTGTCAAACACACACGGCTGGTCTCCGAACATGACTGACACGCTGCTTCCTGCATCCAGGTTGCTGCCCCTTATCGTGACCATTGTTCCCCCGGACACTGGGCCCTTTGTCGGCATCAGGTCAGTGAGAGTGGGGAGCTGCAAGGATTGAAATCATCGTTAGTTAGAGACACAGACATAAAGACAGACGTGACAACACACGGGGGTCTAATAAAGCTCATACAAGAAATCGCGCGTAGGCACATGGAATTATATGCTTGTACGTGTTAAAAGACCTGCGGTTATAAAATGAAAAGGAGGGGGAGGATTACATTTATAATATAATAAATTATAATAAAAATGCAACATAATATAGTTTCATATATTATATATTATTCATATATTACCGTTTCATACCTTTCATGTAACATACTAAAGATAATCATATTTTAAGGCTTTCAGGCCTGAAATTCTATTAGCCCTAACTTGCAAGACCATTTGATCGCAAAATTTAGGACGTTCCAGTCTTAATTCAGGACTCGCGCGGTCCTTTAAACAAACCTTTAAAAATATAGTTAAAGAGAAAAAGCTTTTCCAATTATGGACTGAATTTCAGAAATGTTCCACAATTCTGCTCAGCCTTAAATTTGAAAGACAACAACAACGAACAGCAAATTACATTTGTACAGCGCCTGTCACGTCAGGAGGACATCTCAAGGTGCTGGAAAGTCAGGGATTTGGACTTGATCTGGGGGGTTGGGATCACAAGGGGTGGAGGGCGGGTAGTGGAGGGGTAGGAGGGTGCCTGAAGGCGCTGTCAAAGAGGAGAGGCTTGAGACGGGCTTTGAAGGAGGCGAGGGCGGGAGCGAGGCGAAGGGACTGAGGGGACTGAGTTCCAAAAGAGTGTCACAAGGCTAAGAAGAGGTGAAATTCCCAGTCAAGACACTCAGTTGACCCTCTGCTTACATCAGCGGGAAGCTTTAATCCCTGGATTGGGCCTCGTGGTCCTAGCGAAGTAGAGCTGGACGCTTAATCGGACTGGGAACTCACCACAAATCTGTAGCGCTGCGTCGATCTGGCCATGAACTCGCGCTTGCACTCATCTACGCAGACCTCCACAAAGCCATTGAACTGGTTGTGTCTGGCCACCCCCATCTCGCACACGATCCTGTGGGAAAGCAAGAGAAAGGGTCAAACGGCCTGCTCTCCGGGATAAATAGCGATGATAATAACAATCGTTGCATCTGGTATAATAGTAATAATAATAATAATAATATCAGCCGTCTCATATCAGACGTCTCAAAGGCGCTTCACAGGATTTTGCTACAAAGTGTAGTGGCTGTGTATTTTGTAGGCCGTCCCCCTGATTCGGATTGCTCTCCTCTCCAAGTTTAGTCCCACATTCCAATGGCCTCACCACTGTTTATGGGATGTTAGCTGTTACGTTTGCCTATACAGTAGAAAACGTCACCTCGTTGGGCATCAATTTTGCATTGTGAAACACTCAGAGATGTTTGCTTTAAAAGCGTAACATAAATGCAAGTTATTATTATGAGCAATGCCGCAAATCAGAATTTTTTTCTTTGGTGGTGGGGTGTCTGACCCAATGCGGAAACCAATCGCTAGGCTTAAAGAGTGTTCAAGTCAGACTGAACGTTGCACATCATACATGCCCCACCTACGCTTGGAATTTCTCAGGTATCGGAATAGAATGCGCGCTCTCTCCCCCGGGGGGGGAACGCACCGTGCTTACCTAATACCGGAGAGGATTAGTGCAGGTTGGCGAGAGACAAAACTTGGGGACTCCAGAGCGTGTGTTGGGGGTAACTGCTGGAGTTTAACCGGCCAAGACCGCATAGCTTGCCATTGGAAGCACTGCCTGGCAAGCTTCCCCCTACTTGCTTCTCCCTACTTCCCCCCAGTTCCCAGTGACTGGTCTGCCCTTTCAAGTCTTGCCAACGAGCGAGCCAGGTTGGCTGGTCTGTCATCAGCAGAGTTATCGCTATGAACAATACTGCAAATTAGACCCATTATCTGGGTGCCGGTCCCAGTGTTTTGCCCTTTGCATCCACGTCCCTCAGACTATCCAGCGATTCCCAACTGCGGGAGTGGACAATACCATTTGTTAATCCTAAATGCAAGGAGGTGTGCAGGCTGCTTACTGTTCCGCTGGGATGTAACCCTCAGACAGAGCAGTACAGTCCACGCCCGCCACACGCACAAAGTCTTCAATCTCCCAGAAGTTCAGGCCGAGGTTCTCCCCATAGATGGTCAGCTTTGTCCCACCTTCCCTGGGCCCTTTAATCGGCCGTATCTGCAATGAATAAATAACAACAAGCAAGTGGATTAGCGGGAGTTCAGGAGGCGGTACAGGAGGAACATCTTCACGCAGAGGGTTGTGAGAAAGTGCACTTCACTGCCGGAAGCTGTGGTTAAAGCAAACAGCATCAACATATTTAAGAGGAACCCAGATAATAATAATATAATATGATCTAATAATCCTTGCATTTGATATAGCGCCTTATCAAGTCGTTGAGAAGTCTCCAAGTGCTTCACAGAATATATTGTAAAGTAAACTGACTGTGTAATTTGTGGGTGAAACGCACAGTAGTGTCATGGATTAAACCATCACAATTTTTGTTTGTTCGTTTGTTGTTTGAAGGGGTTATTACCTCTGAAAGCCAATCGACTAACATCCAGGTTTCGACTTACTGCAAGCTAAACAGAAGCATTTGGAGCAAGGAAACTTGCTTAAGGTTTCACCCTGGCTGGGAATCGAACCCGGTTCCTCTTGCTTGCGAGGCGATGAGGTAGAAGGGAATAGAGGGGTATAGGAGAGAGGATTAGGAGGGGTGGGCTTGGGTGCAGGATAAATACTGACATGGACAAGTTGGGCCAAATGGCTTATATATATGTGTGTGTGTTTGTGTGTGCATTCGTGTGTTTGTATACGTGCAAGTGCATACACTGCGTGTGGGTCTATGTGCATGTCTATGTGTGCGTATAGATGTCCGCGTGTATATGAACACGTACACCCGTGTGATTCTATGTTTGTTTGTGCATCTATGTAGTACACAGGGAGGAAAACAGTCACTTCACCCACTGCAGTGCTGGGGAGAAAGCTGAATGATCAGAGGTGCCATCGTCCTTTGGATGCGACGTTGTACTTTGGTGAGGTCTGCCTGTTCAGGTGGGTGTTACACATCCCATCCCCATGTGACAGGTGCTATGTCAAATGCAAGGATTACTGTTATCAAAATTCCAATTCTTAAGCATAAATCGGTGTCAGGCGTTCCAACAATCCCCGAAATTCGACATGTTCATAGACTTAATCATCCTCGCATTTGACATCGCGACTTAACATGTCGTCGAGACATCTCAAAGCGCTTCACAGGATTTTGCTGTCGTAACTACATTTTAGTGGCGTAATAACGTTTTACCGTAATAACTGCATCGTAATAACCACAAGTTGCAAGGGGGGGGGAGAGGGAGATGTTTTCTGCTTGCGCATTTCACAACAACAACAACTTGCATTTATAGAGCGCCCCACACGAGGGGTTAGCGTCCTGGAGCGCCCTTAATTTAATCCAATTTAATGCTGCGGAAAAACAGTGAGGAGTCATTTCTGTCACCAGATCACGATCACACTGCTCCCCCTTGGGCCAGAGCTACACCGACGCTCCACCATCACCTTTTGTGCCTTCGGCTAATCTACTCCTTTCACCAGACAGCAGGACTCTCATTATCACACACAGCTCTCCTCGCCTGTTTAATCATCAATAAAAGCTGCTCTCCGGACTTCTGATGTAGAAGAAAGACCTCATTTGTTGATGATGTTTTTATGTCTCGTTTCCCCCCCACCCCTGCCACCCCCTCCCCCCGCCCCCACCCATCCGTTCCCCCCACCCGTTCCCCCACCGGCCGCAAACGGTGCGACATCTTCATCTGTGTGAGTTTCAGAGGTACATCGGGGTTTAACCCTTACACCGCTGGCACATTTAGATTCTCAATGGCTCCAGCGTCTCGAAAGGGGGTTGCTCATGGACGATGCAGGTTCAGAGTTGCAAAGGGCAACTTCAGGACAGACACCAATAACCCAGGGGGTATTTAATGACTGGAGCACGGATACCAGTGGCAGCAAAGAGTGTCGTTTGTTTCAAGAACAATTTAGATAGATTTCTGCTGGAAAATATTATCCCGGGATACGGTATATAGTTTGGGAAACGACATGTCAAGCGCCATGAGGTGTGTGGAGTAAGGAAAGTTGCCTAATGTTTCGCTCCCTCCCGGGAACCGAACCCAGGTCCTCTCGCTTGCGAGGTGAGCGGTCTAACCACTGAGCTACAGGACTCCACTTATTACTGAGCCAAACACTGCAGTGTGACTGACCCTCTGCAGTGTGACTGACCCTCTGCAGTGTGACTGACCCTCTGCAGTGTGACTGCGGTGTGACTTAAGACACTGCGGCAGAATTTGCTCCCGAAACCCATTGCCTCAAACCCTGGCCACTCGCCCCCGAGATCGCGGGAGAGAAACAAACACAAAGCATTCGTTAGCTCGTGGCGGTCGCGCTCGCCTTTCGAGAGAGAAAATGAAGGAGAATTCAAAGGGCTGCGGAGAGAGGAGGGGAGGCGGGGGAGCGAGGCACCCAGGCACGGACGCTGGTGTGGGGTCGAGGAGTTCAACGGCAGACACTGCGTGGGCTTGTTGAACGCACACCATTCAGCGGGGGTGGTGGTGGTGGTGGGCGGGGGGTGGGGGCGTCTCCGCATTAGTCAGGGTTCCGTAGGGGGTCTGCGGGCTGACAAAGAGCACACAGCCCAGCACTCTGAGCACTCACTGTTCAGCATCTTAAACAATGCGCCGCAGGCGAATTTCACTGCACAGATGTTAATTGCGAGATGGTCAGAGCAGCCACGTGTACAAAGGACCTCTCAATTTGTACCACAGCTGGGGTGGGGGGGTAGGCGTTTAAAGGGGAAGATCACGGGGATGCAGGTGGTGGTGGTGGGAGGGGGGAGAAGGGGTGGGGCGGTTCGAGGAAGAGGAGAGAAGCGATTTTTAATATAAGACTCTCTCCCCGCGATATCACTGGTAATAAGTCATGGAACCGCGTGAGATGTGCTTCAGGGTTACGAAAAGAAAATTCTGTAAATCTACTTCACGGTTATTTTAAAGGAACTCAGATTCTTTCTCCCCCCCCCCCAACCCCACCCCACCCGCCCCCATCCCTCCCTCCCTCCCCCATCCCATCATCCAGGCTTGTAATCCCTCCCTGCCCCAATTTAAACTCAGTGTACTGTTCGGAGGATGGCTCCGGCTCAAATTGGCTGCTGTGTTTGCCTGAATAATAATAATAATAATAGTGTTAGTTGCTTTCAGGAGGTGATAATCCCTCCCCCCAAAAAAACGATTTGATCGCTCAATCCACGACTGTTTGTGGGGACGCTGCGGTGCGCAATTGGCTGTCGCGTTTCGCCCGCAAAATATACAGTCAATTCACTTCACAGTATATTCTGCGAAGCGCTTTGAGACGTCTCGAAGACGTGATAAGGCTCTATATCAAATGCAGGGATTATTGCAATAATAATAAAATAATATTTAAAAGATCCTTGCATTTCACATGCAGCGCCTTTCACGTCGAGAGGACGCCTCTAAGGGCTTCACAGGATTTTCGCCCACGAGACAACCGGTCAATTCACTTCACAGTCTATCCCGTGAAGCGCTTTGAGACGTCTCGAAGACGTGACAAGGCGCTATATCGAATGCAAAGGATTATTATTTTACTGTAAATTGCAAATGCAGTGACTCGCGGGCGAAAACATTCACTTCGTCATCTCTGACCCACTTTGTTTCACGACAGACTGCAAGGTTTGTACCTATTTGCGAGTTATTGCTACTGTTGTTATAAGCCTTATGTGAAATGGGGAGCTGGGGGTGGAGATGTACAGCTGGTCAATCATCGCCTGATTGAGGAAGATAAATTAACCCTTTCGGCCGTGACCCTCCCCTCACAGACTGTTCAGCGTTCTGCCTTCACATTTCGCGTTTGGTTAACCACGTGTAGCTCTGGCCGTCACACTACAGCGAGGAGGTTATAACATAGGAGAGAGTGCAGGGTAGGTTCACTAAGATGTCACCAGGGATGAGAAGATACAGCTATCAAGAACGACTGGACAGGTTGGGTCTGTCCTCTCTCTGGAGATGCTTCGGTTGAGAGGGGACCTGATGGAGGCGTTTAAGTTGTGAAAGGATTCGATAAGGCGGACGTTAACAAGCTGTTTCGATAATAATAAGACTTGCATTTTGATATAGCGCCTTATCATGTCGTTGAGATGTCTCTAAGCGCATTACAGGATATACTGTAAAGTGGATCGACCATGTATTTTGTGCTGATGGGCCAGGCTGGGCACTGCTGTTGACAGTACAGCCCAGCATGGCTCATCGGCAGGACCTGGAAGGGCAGACCAGTCACCAGGGGTAGGGAATTATCCCACTCAACTCTTGTTAACCCTGCAAAGCTAATGCCCTCACGGGTAGGGTGGTCCTAGTTGGACAACCAGTGGGAAAGTTTGCCAGACAGCGATATCAATGGCAATCTATGCAGTTTTAGCTGGTTAGAACTCAAGCAGTTACCCCAATGTATACTCTCGGGTCCCCAAACCCTTGGCTCTTGCCAAACTGCGCCTAATACTTTCCGGAATTAGGGAAGCAGAATGCGTCCCTCGAGGGAGAGAGAGTGCGCAGTCCATTCCAACAATCTATCGCTGGGATTTTCATGTGTAGGTGGGATGCATGGAATTCTCAGTTTGGTTTGGATACTCTTAAGCAACGGTGATGGGTTTCCGCACCCACCCTGGATAAATGCGACATAAATTTCAATTGTTATTCTCGCATGTCAGATGAGCATTAAGGAGGTAATCTCCCTGATGACTTTATAGGGTTGACAATCCACCCAGAAGATTGCTGTCTCGGTCGTCCCATAATAATATAATCCTCGCATTTGATAATAATGTAATCCTCGCATTTAATGTGGCGTCTCAAAGCTCTTCACAGGAATTACTGTGGAGCGTAGCAACTGTGTAGTTTGTAAGGGGCAAACGTGGCAGCCAATTTACCCGCAGCGACGTCCCACAAGCAGCCAGGGAGAGAATGCATGAATCGTAACCTGTTGGAACAAGGACACCGAGAGAAAGTAACCCCCTTCCTCTTTCAAATGAATAGTAGCACGGGATCAAGCAGATGGAGCCTCCGTTTGACGTCTCATCCGAAGGACGGCACCTCCGACAACACAGCCTAGCGTCTAGACTGTGAGTTCAGAGTCCCCGACGTGGGACTCCCAACCGAGACCTTTTGACTCGGTTTTGACGAGAGTGCTACCGACTGAGCCAGGCTGCCAACCAGATTGTATCTCCGCAGGCAAACTGAGATGCCGAGACAACCGCAGTGCCCTCCGCCTAATACACTGGAGCGGCAGGAGATTTCATGGGTACTCGGTGGGACTTTTTGATCGTGTTCACAGTCACCTCCACCCCCGTCAAGTGCCCTGGGACCCTACCCTACGTGAACGGCGCTATACAAATGCAAGTTGTTGTGGTTGTGGTGGTGGTGGTGGTGTTGGGGACAACGGCCTAAGCTGGGCTGGAAGCGGCTACCAACTCTAGCTTTAAACGACATTCCTCCCCTCATCTCACGCCGCGGCAGTTACCTCGGTTATGCGAGGGTAGGGGCACTTGCGGTTTATTCTGGAATGTTCCAGCCACTGTTCCTCGGGGGCGGGGCAGTGCTGCCTGAGCGCACAGCGGTCCTCGCCTCGGCACCAGCCGCACTCAAAGTCAGGGTCGGCCTTCAGGCACAGGCCACAGCTCTCCCGCATCACTCCGCACTTGTACAGGTGAACTGAGAGGAGAGAGAGCGAGAGAGAGAGAGAGAGAGAGAGAGACAATAAACAGAGCGAGACAGGCCACAGCGCGAAGCTCAACTCAACAGAGACGCCGAGCACGCTCGCAAGACGACAACAACAACAAGCCCCTTATCACGTCGCTGAGACGTCTCAACTCGCTGCTCGAGAATATGCCGCAAACTGGATCGACTGCGCGTGTTGTGGGCAAAATCCCGGCGGCCGATTGCGCACAAGTAGTGGCCCACGAACACTCGTGGATTGAGTGACCAAGTTATTATTCTTTTTTTTGTTTAGTTTTTTTTTTGACGGGATCATTACCCTCGGAAAGCGACCCACCAACAGACTAACAACCGGGTTCCTACTTCCCGCTAGGTAAACAAGAGGCGTGAGGAGTGAGGAAACTCGCCCAAGGTTTCGCCCGGCCCGGGAATCGAACCCGGGTCCTCTCGCTCGCGAGGCGAGCAGCTCTGACCACTACACTACAGGACTCCAAACGGCCTGTTTCTGTGCTGTATCACTCTATGTAATTTCAGCACTAAATTGGCAGCTTCCTGAGAGACGTCCAATGGCTGGGAACCAGCAATGCGTGTTGACCGAAGCAGAAACATTGGCTCCGTGGAATAAAATAGCCTTTAACTGAGCGCAACGAGACAGGGAGGCGCACAAAATGATCTGCACCACTAGTGCGCAAACACAACTCATGGCATAATGGGATAGAAATCCCACCTGGGTCCAGGATTTACTTTATATGCTTTCATTTTCGAAGTGGGTTTTATTATTGATAGTAATAATCATAATCCTTACAGTTGATATGAACCGTTTCAAGTCGGGAGGACGTCTCAAAACGCTTCACAGGGTTTTACTGTAAAATGTAGTGACTGTGTATTTTGTAGGCGAATGCGGCAGCTAATTTGCCCACAAACAGCCATGAAGTGAGTCACCAATTTTATACGAGGGGGGATTGTTGGCCAGGACACAGGGAGGAACTCCTTCCTCTTTTGGATTAGCGTCGCGAGATCTTTAACGTCCACCTGAACAGGCATAGACGGGACCTCGGTTTATCATCCATCCGAAGGATTACAGGAAAACAGTTTCAAAGTTAAGACTGAATTCAACAATTTGCCAAATTCCTGGCGTGTAAATGGAGTGGATTTGGACCCGGCTGGAATTTCATCCGCAGATTGGCTCCTCACCTTTGTTATGTGCCGGGTTGTCGATGCTGAAATCCCCATTCCAGACCACCGAGAGGTCCACCGGGAGATTATTGACCTCCGTTTCCTCGTAGGAATACTGGAACCAGACACACGGTCGCACAATTACGGGCAACGCAGAGCTGATCAGCAAACGGGACAACATCTCTCAAATACAATTCACTGCTGGGGGGGTGGTGCAGAAACACCTTAGCACAGGGCTTGTCTCGTGCTACTGTAAACACAGTCTGAGGCTTCTGATCGTTACAGTTAGTTTTCTACGCTCACTCCGACAGGAGCCAGAGGTCACATCTTTCACCTCTAAGACTCCGTGAGTCTTACTCGGGTAATGCAAGTGTAATATGTTTGGAAGAACCAGGCAACTTTGTATCTACGGTTCCCAAAGCTTTGCGTTGGTAGACGAATCCATACAGAATTAATTTGCTGTCGACTGAATTCACTGTATATTTTGTCATCCAAACACGGCAGCCAATTGCGCACAGCAGTGTCCCGCAAACACTCATGGACTGAGTGACCAAACTGTTATTATTATTTGTTAAAGGATTATTAACACCAGAAAGCGATCCGCCAATCGACAAGCAACCTACTTACTGCCAGGTAAACAGAGGTGCGTGGGGTAAGGAAACTTGGCTAAGGTTGTGCCCTGCCTGGGAATCGAACCCGGGTCCTCTGGCTTGCGAAGCGAACGCTCTAACCAATACGCTACAGGACTCCAATTTAAAGGTGAAGTTACCTTTCAGAAATATCTGTCTGCAATGCGATACCTTTCTATAGCACAACGTTGCAACTGTGGCTTGTCTGAATGGGCCCCATTGTACGGTAAAGCTCGCCACAGTCTGGCATTGTTTACCTGCCCTGCACATGAGCAGCATCTGTTAGCGCAGGAATTAGCAGAAACAAAGCCGTGTTGAAGCTCGAAAAGTGAGCCCTTTGTCACGTCGTTACAAAACAAGAGCAGTCGGAAGGATACCCAGGCCTTTGATTTTCGATACCGGCTTTGAGGAACGTTCAGGCAGAAGCAAAGCTTCACAGTCACACTGGTACACACACACACACAGGGCAATGGTATACACACAAACACAGGGCAATGGTATATATACATACACACACAGGGCAATGATATATATATATACACACACACACACAGGGCAATGGTATATATATATATATACACACACACAGGGCAATGGTATATATATATATATATACACACGCGCGCACACACACAGCAATGCTCTACACACACACACAGCAATGCTATACACACACACACAGCAATGGTACACATAAACATAACAACGGTATACACACATACACCGAGCAACGGTATACACTTTCGCACCCACGCACAGACACACAGCACCGCAGCGCTGTGAGTACGTGTACAACGTGTGTGACTTACTGAGATGTTCTGACATTGGACGCTGGAGCTGTTGAACCTCAGTGCCGGGACCCTCTGCTCCACCCCCTGGATGTTCAGGATACACTCGTACCCTCGCTGACCAGACTGAGGCTGTGGCAGGTTCTTCGCTTTCAGCGTGATCGGCTTCACCACCCCGACCGGCACCAGGAGCTTCACGGCAGGAAGGAGCTGCGGACAGTCCTGGAGAGCAAGGACCAGAGGAAACTCAGCAACAACAACTTGTATTTACACAGAGCCCCCTCACTCACGCAGCGTAGCGTCCCAGAGCTCCTCTCACGTCTCCCGTTCCCCCACCCCACCCCCCCCAAAAAAGGACCAAAATTGCACCTTGTCTTCACTGTTACTGTGGTATGACTGGCAGTGAATATACAATTCAACGCTCAGATATTTCCCATTATAAGTGTAAATGTAAAATGCGTGTATTTTGTGGGCGTTAAGCGGGAGCCAATCGCTCACAGCGACAGATCTTAAGACTGAAGATCAGGCAGAAACGTGGGAAATTCTGAAATCTGATCCGAATTCTGAAGCTTTGGACTGTATTCCTCCGCTTTACAGAACATCCTGTGAAGAGCTTCGAGACGTCCCAATGACGTGATAAGGCGCTGCGTCAAAGGCGAGGACTTTTGTATATTTTACTTTGTGAAACAACGGTGTTCCAGACGAGCGGCAGCTTTAAGGATTTCGTGCGATCTTCCAAGTTGAGGCTGAACCAAACCATCTGACAAAACTCCGAAAAACGCCGAGTTACGCTGAGTAATTTCTTCGCCACGCGTTTCTTATCTGCAATAAATTCACCGAGAGCAGATAAACCACCAGGCCTCGCGGTTACTGTGAGCCGAGCTCTAATGTCACGGCGCGGCTGACTCGAGTTCATTAAAACCCTGACTAAATCCAGTCTATTTGCTAAAGACGGACTCGTTTGCATATGAAAAGGCTTAAAACAGAAAGAAAAAGTCATTATAGATAGGACTGAAGGGTCCTGTATGGAGAATTGACAACTGTACACAATGTTGGGTTTTATCAGCTTAGCGTGACTGTCATGTTAAGTAATTGAAATTTAATGAGACTTTATCCCCACCATTGGCCTTCGTTGATGTCTCGTGTGAAGCATGAAAAATTAAATCCACAGAGTGTGTTTTTTTTTAATCGCTCCCCTTATAAAATACGTCAACATTGTCGGCAAAGGTCAAGCAAAGCTATTTACACACTGGCATCGTTGGAGGTATCTTCCCCCAATCCCATCGGAAACAGCTACGAGACTTTAACCTTGTCGCCCGCTCCACTGTCCTTTCATTTGGTTTCCGTTACAGGTTGTGAACGTTGTGTGTGAAGTGGGGGGGCTGGGGGCTGATTCGAGGGCAAAGCTAACTGCAAAATGAATTTGCGGCATTTCAACTGTTTTTATAACAATAATAATAATAATAATCCCTGCATTTGACATAGCGCCTTATTACGGTGTTGAGATGTCCCAAAGGGCTTCACAGAATACAACATAAAGTGTAGTGACTGTGCATTTTGTGGGCGAAATGAGGTGGACAATTATGTCCCACAAACAGTTGTGGAATGAGTGACCCAATCTTTTTTTTTGAGGGATTATTACCTTCCCTGAAAGCCATCCACCAATCGACTAACAACCGGGTTCCAACTTACTGCCAGGTAAACAGAGGCGTGTGGAGTAAGGAAACTTACCTAAGATTTCGTCCTTAGCTCGGGAAACAAACCCGGGTCCTCTCATTAGTGAGGCGAGTGCTCTCACCAATACCCTACAGGACTCCACACTTGTCCTGTGAAGTGTAGTATCTCGTAGGGGAAACCGGCAACCAATTTGCACACAGATGTCCCACAAAGAACCGTGAAGTGAACGATCAGTTTTATCTGGTCTGTTGGTTAGGACACCAGGAGAAACTTCCTTAGAGCATCAGAACATTAGAGCAATGCTCTGAAAAGTGTAGGGTTTGGGTTTGAGGCACAGGAGAGCTAATGAAGTTGAAGAACGTGGCATTGACTGAACTTATTTAATTAATCTACAATAAACCATTGTTATCTGGAGGCAATTGCTGCTCCAGTTACAATTTCTCATTAGTTTATTTGCATCATTAATCTGACATATTAATATTACGCTCGGGCAAGGAATGTCATCCCTTTCGTGCCCCCAGTACAGTAAAGCACGCGTTCAGTGTTTACGGGCAGTGACCTGCCGATAAACGAGAGAGATTAAACAATAAAAAGAATCCCTGGGTCTTTCAAGTCTCAAAACGCTTCACAGGATTTTGCTGTAAACCCTGGTGACTGTGAAGATTGTTTTTCAACCCCAGGTTCCTGCTTACCGCTCGGCAAAGAGAGGCATACGACGGACACGGCAGCCAATTAATGCACGGCAACAACTTTTACGTGAGGTGGTGCCTCGGAGCGCTTGACACCAGGCCAGGCAAAGAGCGGAGGTGACCGCAGGCTGAACACGAGATATCCCGCAAACAGCCAGGAAGTGAATGACCCCGTTTCATCTGCGGGAATGTTGGTCGGGACACTGGGAGAGAGAAACTCTCTTCTCTTATTAAACAGCACCAAGTGATCATTGACATCCATCCACCTGAACAGGCAGATGGGACCTTGGCTTTGTGTCTCGGCTGAAGGACAACACTTGCAACAACACAGTGCATCCCCAGCGCACTACTGGAGTGTCAGCCCCAGATCCTAACATGGTGCTTTAATCCACAACCTTCTGACCCGGAGATGAGAGTGCTCTGGGCTGGGGCTGAGCCAGGCTGACAACGATAGCGACCTGCACAGGCACGCAGCGAGGGTCTGACTGTCTTATCGGACAACTCTGGCCGGCCTTTAAAAAGACACTGTCCTCATCATTAAAATCTTTTACGTCTGTTCTCCTGCAAAGACATCGAGCGACACAGAGCTGGGCCTTCAACCAGGTTCACGGCACTGCGTCTCGTGCTTGCGAGCGGCCGAAAGGAGAGGTTCGTCGAACGCATTTTCACGATGGCGTTCAGTGACGGGATAGAAGTGACTCAAGACTTGCCTCTCTGACCTCTCTTTCGGTCAGCTGTGCTCCTCACCACACATCTCTCCCCGCCCCCGCCACGCCCCCTCCCCCACCGGCTCAGCAGCACAAAGTGCTTTTGAGACGTCCTCCCGACATGAAAGGCGATGTATAAACGACTATTGTGTTGCAATTGTAAGAAGGCCAAAACTGTAATTCCAGCTCGAAATGAATACGACTGTAATTGTCTGTAATCTCACCAGCAAAAGAGAGATGACATCTGGATATTTCAGTTAAACCACCGCACCTTTTACAGCTGTATCCTAGCCATACAAGTGCCGTTTACTGTATATTACAAAAACATCGACTTATCCTTACCCTTAAGGTACGGGTGAGTTAACATGTCAGACTGGACATGCCTGTACGCTTTTCCTTTGATGTGGCTCCTTTGATTGTTTAATTACTTTTATTAGAAGGCTGGAAGCTGGCAGGCGGATTATTTTTCACTGAATGCGAGATCTGTTTTGCTCGGTTTCTGAATCCGAGAAGACTGTTCGTTAACCCGAGACACCACACGCTGTCGGTGCGAGGCTGCGATTGATCGCTGTTCCCGTCACGCGGTTAGAAATTCCGTCCGTGTCGATGCAACACCAACAACAATTTACATTTGTGCAGCGCCTCTCACATTGGGTGGGCGTCTAAAAAGTGCTTCACACAGCTGACCGGGAGCCCAAGCTGGGCTGGTCTGGGGGTGGGGTGGGGCTGGGGGCGAAGAGAGTGTGGGGGGAAGGGGGGGAAAGATGACCAAAAGTTTCCCACTGTTTGTCCAGCTAGGACCACCCTACCCGTGAGGGCTTTGGCTTGCTGGGTTAACAGGAGCTGAGTGGGAGGATTCCCTACCCCCAGTGACCGGTCTGTCCTTCCAAGTCTTGTCGATGAGCCAGGCCGGGCTGTGCTGTCGTCAGCAGTGAGTGCCCTGGAATAATGTGAACTTGCCTGACTCAGGAATTAGGCAAGTTTCCTTCCTCCACACACCTCTCTTTACCTCGCAGTAAGCAGGAACCCGGTTGTTAGTCGATTGGCGGATCGCTTTCTGCAGGTAATAATCTCACCTAACACCAGCCCAAAAAATGTGGTCACTCCATCCACGACTCGTTTGTGGGGACTCCGCTGTGCGCAATTGGCTGCCGCGTTTCACCCACAAAACGTACAGTCAATTCGCTTTACAGTATATTCTGTGAAGCGATGACGTGATGAGGTGCCGTATCAAATGCAAAGAAGGATTATTATTGTTGTTTTATTATTAAATGTCAGGCCTGTTGGGAGGGAATTGCCACTCAGCTCTCACTTGCTGACTTTCACCAGTTCTCAAGTCAGAGCACTAGATGGAGCACTGCATCTTTGGAAAAGTAGGAATGTTATTCTCGCCGTGACCTGTTTCACCTGTTGGCTGATTTTAATGAAAAATAATCTTAGGTAATCAACATGTGTGACAGCCTGGCGCAGTCGGTAGCCCTCTCTCTCTCTCTCTCTCTCTCACCTCTGAGTCAGAAGGATGTGGGTTCAAGCCCCCACGTCAGGACTTGGAATCGCACAGTCTAAGCTGATGCTCCAGTGCAGCGCTGGGGTGGTGGGGTGGGGGGGCTTCGGATGAGACATTAAACCCAAGTCCTGTCTGCCTGTTAAGGTGCATGCTGAAGAATCCCATGGCGCTAATCATAAAGAGAAGGGAGTTTGTCTTCATGTTCTGCCTAGCAATCCCCCCAAATAAAATGTGTCGGTCGTCTCACAGGCTGTTTGTGCTGCAACATTCGTTCCAAAATACTCAGTGGGTAAAACCCTATCACATGCTTTGAGACGTCCTCCCAAACCGAGAGGCTGCTCTATCAAATGCAGAGAACATTATTACTGGCCCTGGTTTCTCAGATACTGAAGATATAATTGGACGAATACTGCGGAATAAAAGACACTTTTTCACAGCAAAATAAATAACGCAGAAAGAATAAATTGCTCATTTGTGTGATTGGCCAAGGCTCAAAATTGCTGGTCAACTATAACAACCACAATAACTTGCATTTAAATAGCCCCTTCACATGGGGCAGAGACTGGGAGGGCTTAATAACTTGCCAATACCTAACTAAAGCGGCTCTAAGGTATTCAACACGCTTACAACGGAAAGTGGTCCGACCAGGCAAACGTGAAAGAAAGATCTTCATTTGATCAGAGAGGAGGCTGAAGGTTACGATAAAGATTTCATGTGAATCGTTGATCTACATCACTCCACTGCCTGCTGAAAAGACGCTCACATACACACACTCACACACACTCAAAATAAAACTGTGTTTGGATTTTACATGTTTTATCGAGCTCTGGGCAAGCTCCCAAAACAGCAGGAATAAGATCCGAGACTATTAAATGCACAGACTGCAGGAAGATCTCTGAATTAACAATAACCTCATTACTGCCTCACATTCAAACCCATGACCCATGTGTGTTAATTAGGTTTGTCAATCACCCGACTTGCTGTGGAGCCTCCTGCGAAACAGTCAGTGTACAGCGTCGGCCCATTTAACACTCGATTTCAGCTCCTGGTGTCCTACGCTGGGTGGCAAGCACCCAGTGGGCCTTCGTGTTACTCTGAGTCAGAAACCATGCAAAATACACAGCCCGGAAGGAAGCCCTTTGGCACATCGATCGTGTCTCTGCCCGCTCTCTGAATGAGCTATCAGTTTCATCCCATCTCAGACACCGGGAGAGAGAAACTTTTCTCCACAGAGTCTTTCACGTTTCTCCTTCTAAGATATTTATCTGATTCACCCTTAAAAGCTACCACGGACTCTCACCTTCCACGTCTGGCTTTCCACGTCCAAATAACTCTGTGTAACATGATTTCCTCCTACTCTCTCCCTTTCCTCAACAGGCAGCTCAGTCGCTAGCACACTCGCCTCTCACTGAAAAAGCTGTGGCTTCAAGCCCCACGTCGGGAAGTGAGCTCAAGTCTCGGTTGATGATCCTGGGGGTTGACACGTCTTTCAGATGAGATGTCACTCACCCCTGAAGTCCCATCTACCTGTTCAGGTGAACATTAAAGATCCCGTGGCACCATTTGAAAAGAAGGGAGTTTCTCCCAATGCCTCGGCCAACAATTCCCCAAGTAAAATTGGTCACGCACTTTGTGGGACATTGCTGTACACAAACTGAAAATCACGCAGTCACTTCACGTGTGTTCAAAGTCCCGACGTGAGGCTTGCACCCACCACCTTCTGACTCAGACGCGAGAGTGCTACCAACTGAGCCAAGCTGACACCTGAATTCCCACAGTTTCGCCAGCTAATAAATAGCAAGACGTTCTCTCCCCTTCTCTTCCTCCTCCCACCCCACCCCCTCCGCCCCTCCGACCACCAACACATCTTCAAAATCAATAGACTAGCTGACAGCAAATCAGTTATGACATTGTGTAAGCAATATCTATACATCACACGCCTGTCACCCACAGGAAAAAAAGCAAACATGGATTTATTGTACATAAAAATAAGGTCATTTCCTCCATGAATTCCAAATGCTTATTCTTGTGATCTTTGAAGTTGAACTCCACCTTAAGTCGCTTAAGTCTCGGACTCACCTAAGACAGGAAACACAGGCTTCCTGTGAAGGACTGTGTATTAACACCAGGGCTTAAGGTCCCAGACACAATGTCCGGAATTGCTAGTCTTTCAATCATGCTGCCTGCCAGCTTTTCATTTAAGCTGATGGCAAAACAGGAGAAAAGTGAGATATCAGACAGTGGGGGCGGGGGGGGGGGGGGCTAACCAGAGGCCAGAGAATAAATAAATGCACGGAAGGGAGCTTCTCCCGATGATCCATTTCATAGGCTGTTTATTAAACTCCGCTATATCCGCCCTCAGTATATATACACACTCAGTATATTCCCCCCCCCACCCCCCGCCAAGCCTCAGTACTTGCTAACCTGAGGCTGATACTTTCAGACCCTCTGTGGAGAGAGACAGAGACGCTGTAGCAAACAAAAGAGACGTTTGCTCGAATAATAATAATAATGATGATGATAATAATCCTTGCATTTGATATATCGCCTTACCACATCATCGAGACATCTCAAAGCGCTTCACAGGACATATTATAAAGAGGATTGACTGTGTATTTTGTGGGAGAAAAGCAGCAGCCAATTTTGCACACAGCAGTGCACCACAAACAGCCACAGAGTGAATGACCAGTTTTATTTGGGGGAATTTGTTGACCAGGACACCGGGAGAGAGAAATTCCCTTTGCTTATCGATTAGCGCTCGCTGTGGGATCTTTATGATGTCCAGATGAGCAGGCAGACAGGACCACAACTTAACATCTCATCCTAAAGGACAGACTAGATGGAGCACTTAAGACGGTGCAGAAGATTCTTAATCGGTCTTAATTTGGAAACTTGTTTGTCTGCAGAAAATCGATCTCCGAATTAGGAATGCTGACAATTGCAAGACGGTGGTCTGACGAACATGTGTGATTTGGGGGCAGTTCAGTGATTTCACTCCTCCGAGCTCAGTAATTAAAACCAGTCTCCCGCTGGCAAAGTTTCAGACGTGGGTCAGCTGAGTCAGGTATGTTAGAAAAAAATACTCCATAGAAACCTTGCAAACCTAAAGAAGGCTTTACAGCCAGTCAATAGACCGTAAACATTGTAAAACTGAGCTCTCCCATGTAATACGTCAATCTCCCGATTCAGTCTTAATATCGGTTGTTTAATCATCCCGATGTTTAGGAAGAGTACTTTTTTTCTCCTCCCGCCTCGACTGTTCAAATACCCTCCGCGCCAGCCTACCCAGCTCCACTATTCGCAAAATCCAGCTTATCCAAAACTCCGCTGCCCCCATAACTCACCCGTACTAATCTCTGTAGCCCACATCGCACCAGTTCTAGCCAGGCTCCGCTGGCTCCCTATCACCGAACGGATCGATTTCAAGATCCTCACACTCGTCTTCAAATCCCTTCACCTCCCTACCTCTCTTTGACCTGCCGTACTGATGGTCAAGGGAGTCGCTTTGTATTTTGTTATGACTTTTGCTCGCTTACTTTCCCGTGAACGATTTTTTTCCTTAAAGTTGCAGAACTCGGCTGCTTCAGCCACATAGAGGGTCGGGAAGTCTCCTTACCTCGGAGATGTTGACTCGGCCCTCCTGGAAGGAGCACGTCCGTGGATCATGCGTGCACATGTGCCGATATTTGCACCAGTGACATTGATAGGGGCTGTTTACACATGACAGGCACCTGTTCGGACAGACATACGGAAGGAAACACGATTAGGTTGTATTCTGAGCACCTTACAAAAATCCATCAAAACATGCCAGACTTGAAATATGAAGTGGGGAGGAAGGGAGGGAGGGAGGGAGAGAGGGAGAGACAGCGACGGAGGGAGGGGAATGAGCTTTTGCCCAGAGGCAAAGGGTTGCGGATCTGAGGTTTGCCTCCATATACGCAGTCACTACACCTTACGGAAGACTGTGTGAAGCGTGTCGAGGCATTCTCAACATTGTAGGCACTGTATCAAATGCAAAGGCTATTAGGATCATTAGGAATAAGGGCAAATATTTCAGTTGGATTGACTGTATATTTTGTGGGCGATACATAGCAGCCAATTGCGCAACAGCAGTGACCCAAATAATAAATTTTTTTTTAAGGTATTTATCACCCCCGGAAAGCGATCTGCCAAATGGCTAACAACCGAGTTCCTACTTATTGCTGGGTAAACAGAGGCGTGTAGAGCAAGGATACTCACCTAAGGTTTCGTCTCGCCGGGAATCGAACTCGCTTGCGAGGCGAGTGCTCTAACCAAAATGCTCCACAACCAATACGCTACAGGACTCTAGGAATAGGAGGGTTGGCGGGGCGGGGGTGGGGGCTTTTGTGAAGCATAAAGCCTTGCATGGACCAGTTAGACCGAATGGCCTGTTTTAGTCTTGTATCACTTTATATAAGAGAAAATATTAGCTCCTTGGAGGTTAGAACTTCCACCTGACACACTGATTAAAAAAAACATTCACCTCAATCCGTCCTTCAAACGAAAAGACTGCGAATCTACAGTGATAATTTAAGCGCTCTAATCCCATTCTATTTATTTAATGTTTTATTTAAAGTTTTGCTGACCACATTAATATAAAGTAAAAAACGCCGCAGTGCAGACAGAATAATAAAGGGATTAATAATGTATTGCGGTTCTCCCCTTGACGGTGAAGGGCTATAACAATGCAGCATTCATTCCTGCACAATAAATATTTTAATTTAAAAAAATGTGACCTGCTTAGTTTAGCGCTGACAACATTGTCCAGTCCGAACCTGAGAACATACAGACCAGGAAGTTCCTCTCTTAGATTCCCTGGTGTACGCTCAGGTAACTGATAATAAACGATCGTGCACAATAACAATAATCCTCGCATTTGATAGCGCGCCTTATCGCGTCGTTTGGACGTCTCAAAGCGCTTCACAGGATAGACAGTAAAGTGAATTGACTGTATATTTTGTGGGCGAAACGTGAGAACCAATTGCGCACAGCAGGGTTCCCCCCACGCACAGTCGTGGATTGAGTGACACCTTTTTTTTCGAAGGGATTATTACCCCGGAAAGGCGATCCGCCAATCGACTAACAACCGGGTATGAGATATACCTGCTCTGCGTAAGGAGTTCACTCAATTGGCCTAACAGCTGTCTTTTCATTTCACGCTTTCTTATGTTTCCCGAAGCTCCGATAATTAAAGTTAAGGGACGGGCAGGGAAGATGAGGATTGAAGATGGAGTGGCAATTGGAATAGCATTTGCTGCAGATTAAAACTTTCTCAAGGATTACGTGAGGGTATAATTAAGAGAATTGCTTTCCAGTTTGGAAGCAACGTTATAGGACCATTGAGACCACAATAAATGTAAGAATCAAACTTTATGTCAGGAACACAAGGGCTGGTTCAGATTCGTCTCATCATTCTCGATCACTCTAAAATATCCGGACAGAATATTAATGAGAGCGAGCACGTACTGATTCTAGTCTGGCTCGGTCGGTAGCACTCTCGCCTCCGAGTTGGAAGGTTAAAGCCACATCGAGACGTTGAACTCACTGTCTAGACTGACACGCTATGTAGTGCTGGGGTGTAATGAATCGCTGGTATACTAACCGTATACTGGGTGAAATATGGCAGCCAATTGCGCATCGGGGCGTCCCACAAACAGCTGTGGAGTGACCAAATTATTTTTTCTAAAAATAACATCTGAAGGGAATGTTACCCCCGGAAAGCCATTAGACTAACAACCGGGTTCCTACTTACTGCTTGATAAACAGAAGCGTGTGGAAACTTGCTTAAGGTTTCGCCCCGCTGGGGAATCGAACCAGGGTCCTCTCGTTTGTGAGGCGAGCGCTCTAACCACTGAGCTACAGAACTCCACAAATTTGGACAAGTTTGGGAAGTGCTGAGGGACAAAGCCGCCTCGTGCCACCCAGAGTAAAGGCTGTATGCAAGATAACTCACGAATGGTGGACGCTGCAGTTATAGAAGACGAAGCTGGTGCTGGCGAACGTGATGCCCGTTTCCTTCGACTTCAGGTAGAGCTGGACCACTTGGTGATCACCTGCGGGAAAGACGACAGCCCTTAGCAAAGTCACAGCATCATTAACAACGAGCGAGGCTTGTCTGCCACTTCAGTCACCGTCGTTCCATTGGTAGAGTTTCCACTGTGTGAACAAGCCAAAACCACACATGTGTTTGAGGGGATCTGTACCTGATGATGGATGGTGCGGAAGTAGCAAGCAGCCCTCATTTGGGCTAACGATGAGCTTCAACAGTCTTGCGAGACTTAAAGGGAAATCAGCAGGAGCACGATCTGTTCAAGGTCCCCTCCCCCACCCCCCATTTTCCTTTCTCTAATTGTTCCAGTCAAACTCGTTCAATCACGAAACAATTTTCAAAGAACGCAGCAGTCCTGGAGAATTGTGACCTTCATTCATCGTCTATTTCGTTGCCGTGATTGTTTTTTTTTGTTACTTTACTGGTGAAATAAAATTTGTTCCGTTATCAAAATCCTGACTGCAACACCAATTGTTGCGGCAATTGTTGCTACCAGTTATTACCAATTATTACCATAGTGTCACTGCGGTGATAGAGGAGGCGATTTAACAAGGGTGAGTCAATGTGTGGCTTTTACTCAGCATCTCTGCTCTCATTTAATGAACGGCCAGGAATCAGAGAGATCAGTCTCCCTGCTCTTCCCAGACAGCTCTAGAAGCCGAAATGTCCCTTTATTTAACCTCAAGATCATTGCCCTACAAACTCCGGATCTCAGAGAATTTCTGGCAAACTTTTCAAATTCTGCCTGAATTTCAAAGTCGATCATAATACTATTCATGCCGCCGATAATAACACTCGCAATTGATATAGCGCCTTATCACGTCGTCGCGACGTCTCAAAGCGCTTGACGGAATGTACTGTAAAGTGAATTGAGCGTATTATTTTGCGGGCGAAACGCAGCAGCCAATTGCGCACAGAAACCAAATTATATAAGTCCTATGAATGCGAGGTGCTGTTGTTTGTGTATTGCCTCTCGTCTGTTGACACACTTCGCCCACCGGTGACCTCTGACTGTGAAGAGGGCACCTCTTCCAACTTCCAGGAATAATGACGAGGTAAGAAGAGAACAAACACAGACGAGGGAAACACACACGCACACGCGCGCGCGCGCACCGCCCGCAGCAAGCACCGTCTGCAGTCTCATACCATCTTACAGAGGCTCCCAACAACCAAGTGTGTACAAACGGCAGCACAGTGGCTGCTTTCCAGGAAGAACAGGCTGTTCTTAGCTCCTGGGATGGTGCCCTGGATTAACTGTTGTACTCAGCAACACCATCCCACTCATACAGCACAGGCTGCTAGTACTAGGAACACAGCCACAAACCCCCCTCCCTCTCTCTCCTCCGTCGCTACATTTATCAAAATGTCAGCGCAAAGAGGAGAGCAGAGGGCTGGGGTGAATACGCTGAATAAGAGCCAACGTAGCAAGTCGAGCATGCGACATGAGCCTTGATGTTACTCAACTCTGGCTCATCTTGAAGAAAACGATTGCTCTTTGTCGGTTTGGTTCCTCGGTTGGGTTCCAGAGTGATTGGCGCAGACCATGGGATGGGATTTTAAGCGCTCCGAGACCCTCCCCCACGTGAAGGGCACTATATAAAGAACGAGTTGTTGGCGCTGGCTGGTGTTGTTGGTGGGTGCCGTAAATGGGGCATGCGTTGTTTCGCTCAGAAATTACACGGTGCTTCCACTTTACAGCGTATCCTGTGAAGCGCTTTGAGACGTCTCAACGACGTGGTAAGGCTCTATTTCAAATGCAAGGGTTATTATTATTATATTTTTGACCGTACTTTGGGGCACCTTTCCCCCTCTCGTCTTCCCCAGTAAAGCCTACCAGCCAGCTGTCCGATATGCTCTGAGATGTGCCCTCAATGTGAAAGGCTCCATAAAAAATGTGAATCGTCGTATGATTCTTTGACTTCCAGGAAAAACACTGAAACTATTATCCCAATGAGGTCCATTTCAAGAGTCCAATCATGTTTCTGAAGCAAAAATACCAATCCCAAATGAATTAGAATTTCATTTCTAATAGCACCGCAGTTCCAAAGCAGCTTCGGCTGATTTCATGGGCAGTAAAACCTGTTAAAAATCCTCATTAATATTTTTTTCCATTTCACACCAGGGTGAACAATGGATTATCATCCATGGAAATATCTTGTCCACTCTCATCTTCTGACCGTGTCTCTTGGTGTTTGCCATCTGTTTGGCTACTGCTCAAAAACCACAACTACCAGGGGTTAAGTGCTAAGGGAGGGGAAAACTGTAACGCTCTATGTGTTAATTATCACCAGTGATAATCATAATAATTATTGCATTTGATATAGCGCCTTATCACGTCTTCATGAAGTCTTAAAGCACTTCCCAGAATATACTGTAAAGTGAATTGACTGTATATTTTGTGGGTGAAACTTGGGAGCCAATTGCGCACAGCAGCGTCCCCACAAACAGTCGTGGATTGAGTGACCAAATTATTATTATTTTTATTGAAGGGATATTTTATTTTATTACCCCCGGAAAAGCGATCCACCAATCGACTAACAACCGGGTTCTTACTTACTGCTAAGCAAACAAAGGTGTGTGGAGTAAGGAAACTTGCCTAATGTTTAAACATATAAATTCATAACTATAAACATTCAGTAAAACAAAACCAATCTGTGATTATTATGCCTTTCACATAGTAACTTTGCAAAGATCGAATCCAGTAAATGGAGTATAACAAAGCACTTTGCAAAGCACTTTGCAGAGATAGAACGGGAGTCTGAGCAAGATGGGGTAGAAGGGATCAAAAAGGCTGTTAGAATGGAGGATTTTTAGTAGGATTTTTACAGTGGAGTGGGACAGAAGTCTAGATTTACTTTTTTTCTCAGAAGTTCGGGTTTTATAGTTTTTTACGGTGCCTGATTTCTGCCAAAATCCTTTTAAAAAAAACGGCTTCAAAAGTGTAGGCTGAATTTAATAATTTGCCAAACTCACCCCTCTGGCACTAATATGTTTGGAAGATTGTTGCCTGGGTCGCCAGGAGAACTTCTTTTCTCTTCTCTACAGCAGCAACAACAACAACTTGCACTTACATAGCACCCTCCACACAGGGTAGCGCCTCAGAGCGCTTCTCTAACGAGGTCGGAGGACTTGAAATCGCAACCTTCTCAGTAAGAAGCAAGAGGCTAAAGCCAACTGTTCGCACCCCCAAGTCCACCCTGCAGTATAACTTGAACCTCAGTTACAAAGCACTGTTTATAGTGGTTACACTGGACACATAACGAGACTGCTCAACCGTACTCCGTTGTAACACTAAGACCCTTTTAAGCCAAATAATCGGCAGATTCATATTCAAGTAGGGTATCAATATGCAGGCAGGTGTCTGATCCGTACGTCTGAAAAATTCAGATGCTCCCTGTGGCTTTGTGGCCTGGTAAATTGCTCCGGAGTTACCTGTTATACTCCATTTACTGGATTCGATCGTCGAGAATGGTCTAAGAGCAGTGATGACTGTAAATGCACAGCTGCAATTGGGAAAACGATTGGGAGCCAATTATCCGGGAGCCTGGGAATGAGCCTTCGCTTCAGGCCTCTGTGCCACCTGTATCCAAGGGACTGATAGATACACAGCCCTGTGTTAACATAATAGAGCATCGTCTTTACACTATCTCAGATGCTGATCTCAGTATCTTTCCCAAGACAATGATTGACAGCTCCATTAACATTACACTTAATATTAAAGAGATGAAAGCCCTTAAGTGCACTTAGCCAAAAAGGACATGACAATTACTCTTATTTTATCACAGACGATTCTGGGTTATTAACTCGGGATTACGTTTTATTTTGGGGGAAATTTTTCTTTTATTGTTGTGTATTTTGATGAGTGCATGAGATGGGGAGCTGCAGTTAACTACAGTATCTCATCCTCTTGTTTAACAGAGTGCCCTGTGGCTCAAAGTGGTAGGATCGCGGCTCACTGAGAGTGTTTACAGATTAGGAAGGCCCCTGGTCTAATCCGCAGACTGGGCTGAGATAACTTGTGGAGTCCTGTAGTGTGTGGTTGGAACACTTGCCTCATAAGCGAGAGGACTCAGGTTCGATTCCCGGGGCAGGGCAAAATCTTGCGCAAGTTTCCTTACTCCACACGCCTCTGTTTACCTAGCAGTAAGTAGGAACCCGGTTGTTAGTCGATTGGCAGATCACTTTCTGGGGGTAATAATCCCTTCAAAAAATCCATATAAAATAAAATAATAATTTGGTCGCTCAATCCACCACTGTTTGTGGGACACTGCTCTGCGCAATTGGCTGCCGTGTCTCTCACAAAATTTACAGTCAATTCACTTCATTCTGTGAAGCGCTTTAAGACTCAACAGCGTGATAAGGCGCTGTATCAAATGCGAGGATTATCATGATAACTTCACCCATGGCGACACCCAAGCACAAGTTACTGGAAGTACCTTCTTCCGTATGAGACATTTAAACCGGGTTCCCGTCTGCCTGTTCAAGTGGACGTTAAAAGATTCGAAAAGAATAGTGCCCTGGCCAACAATCCTCCAGATAAAATTGGTCACTCACTTCAACGGCTGTTCGCGGGACACGGCTTTGCGCAAAATACGATCGCCACGGGTTACGGCAAATCCTGCGAAGCGCTTTGAGATGGCCTCCCGACGTGAAAGGCGCTGCATCAAACGAAAGGATTGCAATTCTTATCAAAGAATGTCGGATGCCGCCGCGCACGAGCAAGCGAGAGCTCGCAAGTTACGGTCCCCGGCTGAGTGTTAGTGAGCAGCGCTGAACCAGACAAAAAGACTAGACCAGTTCCTCCATCCACGTCTCGATCCCAGGCATCGGTCCCTCCGCTACAGCGGGCAAACAGCCCATTCCGAGCTTCCAGCATAATGTAACAGAAGCGGCTATGGAGGCGCACAGAAGCGACACAGTGACAGATGCGAGTCGCGTGGTGTATCTAAAGCGTAGTGTAGCGAGAAGCAAGCTGCTTTCGGTTATTAATAAGTCAAATCATTT